GGCCTGTGCTGTAACTCATAGGGTCGCTGGGGGGAGGGGCAGGGAGGGAGGGGCCCTGTGCTGTCACTCACAGGGTCTGCTGGGGGGGAGGGGGAAGGAGGGAGGGCCCTGTGCTGTCACCCACAGGGTCTGCTGGGGGGAGGGGCAGGGAGGGAGGCCCTGTGCTGTCACTCATGGGGTGTGCTGGGGGTGGGGGAGGGGCTTCTTTGGTTCTTGAGGTTGGAGTTCCTGAGTTGAGAGCCCTCCTTTGTCCAATGGGGACTGAAGGCCCAGCAGAGCGCAGCTGGGGCCAGGACCAGTGGGGAAGTCCTGTGCTCTCCTCACTGACCTGGGAATCCTGGAAGTAAGCTGTGGTCGCCGCGGCCGCCGTGGTCTTGGAGGGCTTCCTGGGCGCGGCTGGCAGCTCAGGGTCCACCTCCCTGGGGCCGGGGCGGGAACAGCTCCTGGTAATCTTTCAGCCTGCACAAGGGAGACAGAGGGCACTCGCCTGGGTGCCAGCTTCCGGGGTGCTGCCGGGGCCCTGCCGGTCAGCATGGCAAAGCAGCAGCAGTGTGTGCCCGTGCAGGGAGCCGTGGGGGTGGGGGGGAGGGGTGGGGGCAGAGAGGTTGCGGGGCAGGGAGGCAGGTGGGTGCAGGGAGGCAGGTTGGGGGCAGGGAGGCGGGGGGGTGGAGGGAGGCAGGTTGGGGGCAGGGAGGCGGGAGGGGGTGGAGGGAGGCAGGTGGGGGCAGGGAGGTGGGGGGGCAGGGAGGCAGGTTGGGGGCAGGGAGGCGGGGGTGTGGAGGGAGGCGGGGGGTGGAGGGAGGCAGGTTGGGGGCAGGGAGGTGGGAGGGGGTGGAGGGAGGCAGGTGGGGGCAGGGAGGTGGGAGGGGGGTGGAGGGAGGCAGGTGGGGGCAGGGAGGTGGGAGGGGGTGGAGGGAGGCAGGTGGGGGGCAGGGAGACAGTGGGGGGAGCTTGGGGTCAGTCTAGTTCAGTCTAGCGTTTGCTTTTGCAGGGCTGGCGATGAGCGCCCTGGGCTGGCGAGCCAGGAGCGTGCGCAGCGAGGGTGCTCACCACTTCTCTTCCAGGGACTTCATGATGTAGCCCTGCAGCATGAGCAGCGTGGTGGTGCTGATGTGGCGCATGTGGGCAACTTCTTTGACGATCGGGGCACTGCACTGTAGCACCTCCTCTGCAAAACATGGAGGGGGGCGCTCAGCCCATCCTCGCTGCCGGCTCAGCCCCGCCTCGCCGGCGCAGGTCCTCTGGGGTTCACGTTCTCCTGACCTCGGTCCATCCGAGCTCCAAGGGGGAGTGCTTGCGGGAGGAGATTGTGTGCACAGGTTTGGAGGTTTCCGTTGAGGGAGAGCGGACGGGCCACAGATGAGAGTGAATTGCTGGGGCATTGGGGCAATGGGGCCCCCAAACTCCGGCTGAGCCTCGCCAGAGCTGGGCAGGCCCCGTGTCCAGAGGGTGTCGCCGGGGCTCACCCGGGGTGCGAGCTGGGCACCCCTTTCTCTTCCACTCACGGAGAACGGTGCAGAGCTGGCGGCCGAGAGCCCGAGACCAGCTCTCAGGATTCTGACAGATTTGCTAATTTCATCTCTTTTCATAAAATACATCCCCGTGCCTTATTTTGTTTTTTATTTGAAAGGCAGAGTGGGGGGTGGGGGCGGGAGAGGGAGGGGGGGAGAGAGAGAGAGAGCAAGCGAGAGAGAGAGAGAGAGAGAGAGAGAGATTGTTATTTCCCATTTACTGGTTCATTCTACAAATGCCTGCTTCAGTGAGGGCTGGGCCAGGCCAAAGCCAACAGTCCGGAACTCCATCCGGGTCTCCCACGTGGGTGGCAGGGGCCCAGGTGCTGGAGCCATCCCCCCTCCTCCCAGGGCATGTGCTGTGGGAAGCTGGATCGGAAGCAAAGCAGGGATTTGAAGCCCGCCTGTCCCCGTGTGTGGACAGGGAGGCGGCCTCGCGGCCATCTGCTTCTGCTTACGGGCAGTCCCGCGTGGCCCCTCTGCCTCCGGCCAGGCGGGCGGGCGTGGCCACACGCAGCCTCCAGCTCAGGGGTCTTCCAGGCCGCCGGTCTCCCTCCCAGTGCCCGTGACCTCGCCCTCGGACTCCGTACCCCGGGCTGACCCGGAGCTGGAGCAAAGCTTCGCGGGCGGGACGAGTCAGCCTCTGCGTTTCACCTGTTCCTTGGCCAAAGGGGGCCCTTTACCCCACGCTTACAAGGAGCGAGAGATTTCTACTTGCAGGCATACACGCAGCAAAGGGGAGGGGACGCAGCTGGTCTCGGCGGCCGCTGTCCCCGCGCCGCCCCAGGCCCGGGGAGGAGGCGGTGCGCACCGGGCGGCAGCTTGCTGTGGAAGAAGGTCTTGACGATGCTGTCCAGGGCGGACTTGTAGAGCTTCTCGTTGGTCTCCGAGCTGAGCTTCTGCACGGCGACCAGGAACTGCAGCGGGCTCTCGGCCTTGCGGTCCCGCAGGAACTCCCTGAAGAACTCCAGGTGCTGGGTGCTCAGCAGGATCTCCGTCAGGTTTCTGGAAGACACGGGTGCGTCACTGCAGGGACGGGGTGCAGCGAGGCGGGGCACGGGGTGCAGTGAGGCAGGGGACGCTGCTCTGACCAGGGAGGGTGCGGGCTCTCAGTCTGGGGGGGGAGAGGGTGATGACTGGACACTGCTCTGACCAGGGAGGGCGCGGGCTCTCAGTCTGGGGCGGGGAGAGGGTGATGTCCGGACGCTGCTCTGACCAGGGAGGGCGCGGGCTCTCAGTCTGGGGGGGGGAGAGGGTGATGACCGGACGCTGCTCTGACCAGGGAGGGCGCGGGCTCTCAGTCTGGGGGGGGAGAGGGTGATGACCGGACGCTGCTCTGACCAGGGAGGGTGCGGGCTCTCGGTCTGGGGCGGGGAGAGGGTGATGACCGGATGCTGCTCTGACCAGGGAGGAGCACCGGGTGTCTTTAGGCTGTGGGGCTTGTGGCCGTGTGAAGAGTGTAGTGAACGAATCAGTTAACTCTGCCGACCACCTTGGCGATAAACGTGAACTCTCAGGCCTCCTCCCTGAGCGAGGTCCGACCATTTCACAGCCCCGTGCGGGGACAACTTCCCAGAGCTTCTGTCTCTGTGCTGTGGATTCAAATCCACTCCCAGCAGCAGTCCTCCTGAGGGGCAGAGCGAGGCCGAGCAGCGGCTTCTGACAGACGCCCGCCACGCCCTGTGCGCACTCCCTGGCTGCAGCTGCGCCAGCCTTCATCCTCAGTCCGTCCTGGGCGATCTCTGCCTCCTGTGCTTTCAGTGGTGGTTGATTGGCGAAGCTGCATCTCCAGCTTCCATGAGCCCACGTTCAAGTGCTGGCTGCCTGTCCCGCCTCATCGTGCCACTGCAGCTGTAACGTGAGGCTCTCCACGCACTTCCACACGTCCACCCCCTTGCTTCTCCCTCATGGGTGCCTGCTGCATCGCGCATAACGCAGGCCCCACAAAGCTATTTTCTACTGTAATTTTACTGAGAATTTCTTGTCAGGACTGGACGCTGCCTATATAAAGGGCGTTTTCTGCATTAGCTGAAATAACCATGTCAGTTCTCCCCCTCGTTATCGACACAGCATACCACATCACCTGTTCTGTCAATGCAGCACGTCACAGCACCTGTGGTATCAATGCGGCATATCACATCACGTGTGTAATCAATACAGCACGTCACAACACCTGTGTTATCAGTACCACACGTCACAGCACCTGTGTTATCAGTACCACACGTCACAGCACCTGTGGTATCAGTACCACACGTCACAGCACCTGTGTTATCAGTACCACGTGTTACAGCACCTGTGTTATCAATACAGCACGTCACAGCACCTGTGGTATCAGTACTGCATGTCACAGCACCATGTTATCAGTACCACGTGTTACAGCACCTGTGTTATCAGTACCGCACGTCACAGCACCTGTGGTATCAGTACCACACGTCACAGCACCATGTTATCAGTACCACGTGTTACAGCACCTGTGTTATCAGTACCGCACGTCACAGCACCTGTGTTATCAGTACCACGTGTTACAGCACCTGTGGTATCAGTACCGCACGTCACAGCACCTGTTACCAGTACCACATGTTACAGCACCTGTGGTATCAGTACCACACGTCACAGCACCTGTGTTACCAGTACCACGTGTCACAGCACCTGCGGTATCAGTACTGCACGTCAAAGCACCTGTGTTATCAGTACCACATGTCACAGCACCTGTGTTATCAGTACCTCACGTCACAGCACCTGTGTTATCAGTACCACACGCCACAGCACCTGTGGTATCAGTACCACGTGTTACAGCACCTGTGTTATCAGTACCGCACGTCACAGCACCTGTGTTACCAGTACCACGTGTCACAGCACCTGCGGTATCAGTACTGCACGTCAAAGCACCTTGTGGTATCAGTACCACATGTCACAGCACCTGTGGTATCAGTACCACATGTCACAGCACCTGTGGTATCAGTACCACGTGTCACAGCACCTGTGGTATCAGTACCACGTGTCACAGCACCTGTGGTATCAGTACCGCACGTCACAGCACCTGTGTTATCAGTACCACACGTCACAGCACCTGTGTTATCAGTACCACGTGTCACAGCACCTGTGGTATCAGTACCGCACGTCACAGCACCTGTGGTATCAGTATCACATGTCACAGCATCTGTGTTATCATTACCAGATGTCACAGCACCTGTGGTATCAATGCTGCGTGTCACATCATCTGTGGTATCAGTACCACATGTCACATCACCTGTGGTATCACTACCATGTGTTACAGCACCTGTGTTATCAGTACCACGTGTCACATCACCTGTGGTATCAGTACCATGTGTTACAGCACCTGTGTTATCAGTACCACGTGTCACAGCACCTGCGGTATCAGTACTGCACGTCAAAGCACCTGTGTTATCAGTACCACATGTCACAGCACCTGTGTTATCAGTACCACGTGTCACAGCACCTGTGGTATCAGTACCATGTGTTACAGCACCTGTGGTATCAGTACCACGCGTCACATCATCTGTGGTATCAGTACCAGATGTCACAGCACCTGTGGTATCAGTACCACATGTCACAGCACCTGTGGTTCAGTACCACATGTCACATCACCTGTCACCCGCCACCTGTGGTCTTCCCACCTGTCCACTGTGAGGTCAGCTTCAACCTTGGGCTGCACGCATGACCCTTCTCTGGTCCTTGTGGCCCAGCGGTCTGAGACCCACCGCAGCCAGCATGGCAGCCTGAGGGCGCCCCGTGTGGAGCTGGGGTTCTCGTGCGTGGTGAGCAGGAGTTTCCACGGCAGTTTCGGAGTATGCACCCAGCATCCGTCGTTCGGATGCCTGCGGCCTTTCTCTCTTCACGGAGAGTGTGGTGGTGAGCCCGGGTCTCCGGGTTCTGCTCATGGTTCTTTTTCCTTCAGACTGGGTAGTGTCCATCAAAAAATCTGTATGTTTACTGATTCTTCTGTCAACTCAGTCAGTTTTGGGGGCCAGTGTTTGGTGCAGTGGGTTAAAGCCACTCCCTACAACGCCAACATCCCATATGGGTGTTGGTTTGAGTCCCAGCTGCTCTATTTCCGATCCAGCTCCCTGCTAATGTGCCTGAGAAAGCAGCACAGGATGGCCCAGGTGTTTGCCACCCACGTGGGAGACCCAGAAGAAGCTCCTGGCTCCTGGCTTCAGTCTGGCACAGCCCTGGCTGTTGTAGCCACTTGGGGAGTGAACCAGCAGATGGAAGATCTCTGTCTCTGTCTCTGTCTCTCTCTAACCCTGCCTTCAAATAAAGTAAATTTTTAAAACAAGCATTTTTTATTCTCTCTAGTGAATTTTTCATTTTAATTATTGTGCTTTTTATCTTCACATTTGTACTTGGTTCTGTTTTATATTTTTTTTTTTAAAGATTTATTTATTTGAAAGACAGAGCTATAGAGAGGCAGAGGCAGAGACAGAGAGAGACAGAGGTCTTCCACCCGCTGGTTCACTCTCCAATTGGCCGCAACGGCCGGAGCTGCGCCCATCTGAAGCCAGGAGCTTCTTTCGGCTCTCCCACGTGGGTGCAGGGAAAGATGTGGGCCATCTTCTACTGCTTTCCCAGGAGCAATAGCTGGGAGCTGGATTGAAAGTGGAGCAGTCGGTTCTCGAATCAGCACCCACATGGGATGCCCGACCGCAAGCAGTGGCTCTACGCGCTGCGCCCCAGCAGCAGCCCTCTTCTGCTTTATCGTAAGAAGTGATCTGCCTGGGCGACCTCCGGGGAGCGCCTCTCCCCGCAGTTACTGTCACTGAAACGTCTGCTTGGGGTTTCCTGCTCTCAATTTCTGCTTTTATTTATTTTTAAGAGTTTGTTTATTTTCATCTACTGGGAAGGCATACAGGAGAGAGAGAGAGAGAGAGAGAGAGAGAGAGAGAGAGAGAGAGACTCTTCCATCCACTGGCTCACTCTCCAAATGCCTGCAGTGGCCAGGGCTGGCCAGGCTGAAGCCCGGAGTTGTCTCCCAAGCGGCGTCAGGGCCCACGCACTTCAGCCTCCTGAGATGGCTCCCAGGGCGCACTGGCAGGAGGAGCAGGCACTGAACCCAGCGCTCCGTGACATGTGGGCATCCCGAGGGGCAGCTGGACTGCTGAGCCGCGGCGTCCGGCCCTGTTGTGACCCTCAGTCCTAGGTCAGGACCTTGTGGGCAGCCAAGGACAGGTGCATCGTGGGTCGCCCTGGTCGACCCCCCACGTTCCCAGCCTTTCAAAGCCCCAGGGCAGCCTTGTCCCAGCACTGGCCAAGGAGACAGCGGCCCCTGTCCCGGGCTCACCGCAGGGCTCCACGCTGAGCCAGGCCCTCTGCGGGCAGCAGCCCCGGCCCTCGTGGCCGCCGTGCTGTGAGTGGCTTCGGGGCAGAGGCAGGGCCTGCTGTGCCCCTGAGGTCTGGTCGCCTTCTCCGTGGCCGTCAGTTAACGTGCGGGACTCTGCAGTCTCGGTCCCGTCACGGCTTTGGTGGGGACGCTAGGCCGGGCCTCACGCTGCCACTGCAGGAGCCCGGCCCCCTCCTCCGTGCAGTTCACGTCTGCACCGCCCTTGGCCCTCGCCTCCCACGCTGCCCTCCCGGCCACGGCCACAGCCCCCACGGCTGCTTCTACTGGCAAACTGCGGGTCCTGGCTCCTTGTCCTCATTGCTGTTTCTGCCACCCGCCACTCCAGGAAACTCCTGTGTCCTCACTGCCATGATTCGGCTCATCCCGGGACCACCCACTCCCACTCCCGCCTGTGAGCCCTCGGTGGGCTCAGAGTCCCTGCGCTTCCGCACCAGGCGGCTGCTCGCGAGTTCGGATCTCTGGGTCACCTCTCCCGCCTGCGACTGCGCAGGGCTCAGGCGCCGCCAGCCTTCCCCAGCTCCAGCTCCGGCGGCTCCGCCCGTCCTAACCCTCCTCCAGAGTCCCGGTGCTCCAAGGTAACCAGCCTGCGTCTCCTCACAGCACTTAAGGCCAGCCTCGGGGTTTACTTGCTGCGCTGGTTAAGGCGAAGGCTCTGTCCTGTTGTCTCATTAGCACCTGCAGATCATCTGGGAGCTGCTTCCCCAAGAGAGGAGAGGGACACGGGGGAGGGGGGGGATGGGGCGGGGCCTTGGCGCGCCCTTGCAGCCCCGAGGGTCGAGGGTCGCAGACAGCGGGACGCCGTGACAGGGGCTGTGGAATCACAGCCCCTCCTGTGGCGGGTAGCTCGCTGCAGAGGCCCGTGACCGTGGGAGGGAAGCAGGCGCTGTGTAAGGCCCACGGTGAGGCGCCGACCTTAGGATGCGCCCAAGCACATGTGTGCAGCGCGTGTGTAGCAAGCTGGCTCCACGGTGGACACCGGCAGGGCCGGCGCCTCACCTGGGTCGCATGGACGGCTTCCTGATGCCGGCCTTCTTGAAGGACATCTTCCTGGGGGCGTGCGCTTTCCTTGGCTCCCTGATGATCTCCATCGGGAAATCTGGGGGGAATTGCCAACGTGGCAAACGTCCCGTCACAAGCAGCATGGCTGCAAGCAAGAACGGACGGAGGGGCAGCCGCCGACCCGACACTGGCCACTGTCCCCGCTGAGAACTGACCTCAGGGCAGCCCCACCCAAGACAAGGGCAGCCCCGGCTGTGTGGTCTGGGTCGCTGGCCCCTCCTCCTCACGCTGCTCCATTGTCCCCGCCATGGCCACGTGCCCACACCATCAGGGCCACCACAGCCTAACCCTGCCTCCACCCTCTGGGCCCCACTTTGCAGTGAGCGAACCCTGGCAGGCTCAGAATCATCTGAGGTCTGCCTCCACCCTCTGACCCGCGTTCTTTCCCAGGCCCTGCCCACTGGAAGCCTGCCGGGGGTGGGGGTGGGGTTCCAGCACAGCACACAGTCGGCAGGGGCACCACTGAGAGGCGATCACGTAACAATGTCACTGTTGGGGAAGCATGGACTCCGTGCCGCTCACTGTCCTGGGGACCCTGAGCTGTGTACAGGAGCAGCGACCTCAGCCTCAACAGGGTAGGGCGGCGCTGCAGGGCCCCCCAGGACACGAGGGCGTTGCCGGTCACAGGCAGAATCCGTGCTTCGGCATGTTCACCGAGCACGGTGCACCCCACTCAGGAAGCTTCTCTGGGGGTTGGGAAGGCGCTCGGTGACATTCAACACTCAAAAGCATTAAAAGCAACAGAGGGGCCAACGCTGTGGCTAGCGGGTAAAGCCGCTGCCTGTGGTGCCGGCATCACAGAAGGCGGCCAAGTCCTTGGGCCCCTGCACCTGTGTGGGAGACCCAGAAGAAGCTCCTGGCTCCTGGCTTCGAATCAGCACAGCTTCAGCCATTGTAGCCATCTGGGAAGTTAACCAGACCTCTCTCTACCTCCGCTTCTCTGCCTTTCAAATAAATAAATAAACCTTTTTTTTAAAAAAGAGACAACCCCCCCAAAATGCCTCACACAAAACCCTTCCCAACACAAAACACCTAGAAATGTTCAGTTAAAGCATAATACTTTTAAAATCATAAGCAGATTTTTAAAAAACTAAGACAAAACAAAATAAAAGCACAGAGATTAGAAATGAAGAAGATGCTAAAAACCACAGGTGAGTTGACCCCAAGGCATCAGCTGTCCCAGAGGCCATGGCAGCAGCAAAGCCACAGAGGGGCACAGAGCACAGCCACGGAGGCCACGGTGGAGGACAGAGCACAGCCACGGGCGCCACGGTGGAGGGCAGAGCACAGCCACGGGCGCCACGGTGGAGGGCAGAGCACAGCCACGGACGCCACGGTGGAGGGCAGAGCACAGCCACGGACGCCACGGTGGGGGACAGAGTGCAGTCATGGAGGTCATGGTGGAGGACAGAGCACAGCCACGGAAGCCACGGTGGGGGACAGAGTGCAGCCATGGAGGTCATGGTGGAGGACAGAGCACAGCCACGGAAGCCACGGTGGGGGACAGAGTGCAGCCACGGAGGTCATGGTGGAGGACAGAGAACAGCCACGGAAGCCACAGTGGGGACAGAGTGCAGCCACGGAGGTCATGGTGGAGGACAGAGCACAGCCACGGAAGCCACAGTGGGCACAGCCACAGGCTTTAGGGGGAACTGTCTGCTGCTTTCACTGTCACAGCTCGGGACAATCATAAGCTGTCAGAAGTTTCTCCAGATTCTCAGGACAGAGGGGGTGAAACAGCACCACCACAACAGACACAGGCCCTGCAAGTCCCCCAGGACCCAGGAGGGGTCAGCAATGGGTGGCAGAGCTCCCGACTGACTGCCCGTGCGGGCCCAGGTCAGCAGGGGTTGTCAGAGGCTGGGGGTCTAGTGGGTGCCTGTTGTAAAATAAACCTCGTGCGGGAAGCCACACCCCATCCCTACAAATCCTCACCATTCATGGCGATGAAGCATAAATAGCGAGGCATTGGCCAAAAACCGAGTGGAGAAACCTGAGACAGGAGACAGTCGCAGTTCAAATACGGAGAAACGACCACGGTTGGTACAGCCACGGGGACTAACGGACAAGAAGAGAAGCAGCAACGTGGGCTGAATGACACAGAGGAAACCCTGGGCGTTCCAGAACCAGCAAGCGCGCTGACTGCTGGGTGTTCAGCCTGAGGATGAGGTTCAGACAAGGCAGGGGCATGGTGCGGAGTAGGTGGGAACTGCAGATTTACTCTGATGCAAAGTCATTTATGAAGGTCATGGTCCACGTTCCACAGCCTTGCTCATGGAAAGCCTGTGAGGGCAGGGGCAGGGAGGGCAGCGTGGACCCAGCTCCGTGGTCCCCTGTTCACCCACTCCTGCTGCCGGACAACCACCATGCAAGCTACAGAGGCAAATGAAGCTCGCTTGGACGCGGAGATGGGCCACACAGAACGCCTCCAAGTCTGCGGGGAGCGGCCTGACACATGGGGCCCGAGGCTGGGCTTCAGAGACTTTGCTCACTGAATGGGACCGCACTAAACGCTGCCCTGAGCCAGGGACGCATTTACAGCAACAGAGGCATCGCCACAGCCCTGGCTGCCCTGAGCTGCGTCTCCTGCCTTCGTCACCTCTGGCAGGTGCAGCCACGAAACCAGCTGGAGATGACCCTTCTGGAGAACGGAGCCATGTCCACCATGTCCAGGGTTAATCAGAGACCGTTCCCCAACACCAGGCAGAAATGTGTAGGTCCAGGAACCAAGGGACAGAAGAGCTCTGGGTAGCATCGGTGGGGTGACTTGGGGACATTTATCATCCTCACTCCTCTACGATCTAAGGCCTGACCATGGTGTCCAATGGGAACACAATGTGAGCTACAGCACAATTTAAAATGTCCAACAGTCACACTGAAGAAGCTAACAGGAAAAGGGTGGGATTAATTTCAATAATATGTCTTATTTCAACCTTGTATTAGTCTCAAAGGCCTCCGGGGCAGGCAGCTACAGCAGTGGACATGGACCCACGTTCAGTGGTGGCACGAGAGCCTCCATAGTGACATGGTCACCTAAGGCGTCAAACTGATTAGGCTAGCAGTGAGCAAAGGGGTCTCTGATGGTCAGGGATACTCAGCAGGGTCAGGGAACAACCAACACCACTCCCTGGACTCCAGGGACAAAATTTACTGATGAACCGTCAAGTGAAGAAGCCACATTGGGAGCTCAGATACCTCAAGGATGAGAGTCCAGGTGTCCTGACCAGGGCGCATCCCAAGTCCAGGAGAGAGAACACCTGAGCACTAGACCCAGGAGACCACCTGAGCACTCAACCAGGGAGACCACAAGAGCACAGACCAGGGAGACCACCTGGGCATAGACCAGAGAGACCACCTAAGCTCTGAGACCACCTAAACATAGACCAGGGAGACCACCTGAGCATAGACAAGGGAGACCACCGGTGCACAGACCAGGGAGACCACCTGAGCTCTGAGACCACCTGAGCACAGACCAGGGAGACCACCTGAGCTCTGAGACCACCTGAGCACAGACCAGGGAGACCACATGAGCATAGACCCGGGAGACCACCTGAGCATAGACCCGGGAGACCACCTGAGCATAGACCAGGGAGACCACCTGAGCACACACCAGGGAGACCACCTGAGCCCTAGACCTGGGAGACCACATGAGCATAGACCAGGGAGACCACCTGAGCACAGACCAGAGAGAACACCGGAGAATAGACCAGGGAGACCACCTGAGAATAGACCAGGGAGACCACCTCAGCACAGACCAGGGAGACCACCTGAGCTCTGAGACCACCTGAGCATAGACACAGGAGACAACCTGAGCATAGACCAGGGAGACAACCTGAGCCCTAGACCAGGGAGACCACCTGAGCACAGACCAGGGTGACCAACCGAGCATAGACCAGGGAGACCAACTGAGACCTCGACCAGGGAGACCACCTGAGCACAGACCACGGAGACCACCTGAGCTCTGAGACCACCTGAATATAGAGAAGGGAGACCACAGAGAATTGACTCAGGAGACCACCTGAGCAAAGAACAGGGAGACCACCTGAGCACAGACCAGGGAGACCACCTGAGCTCTGAGACCACCTGAGCACAGACCAGGGAGACCACCTGAGCATAGACCAGGGAGACCACCTGAGCACAGACCACGGAGACCACCTGAGCTCTGAGACCACCTGAATATAGAGAAGGGAGACCACAGAGAATTGACTCAGGAGACCACCTGAGCAAAGAACAGGGAGACCACCTGAGCACAGACCAGGGAGACCACCTGAGCTCTGAGACCACCTGAGCACAGACCAGGGAGACCACCTGAGCATAGACCAGGGAGACCACCTGAGCACAGACCACGGAGACCACCTGAGCTCTGAGACCACCTGAATATAGAGAAGGGAGACCACAGAGAATTGACTCAGGAGACCACCTGAGCAAAGAACAGGGAGACCACCTGAGCACAGACCAGGGAGACCACCTGAGCTCTGAGACCACCTGAGCACAGACCAGGGAGACCACCTGAGCATAGACCAGGGAGACCACCTGAGCACAGACCAGGGAGACCACCTGAGCATAGACCAGGGAGACCACCTGACACAGACCAGGGAGACCACTTGAGCTCTGAGACCACCTCAGCATAGACCCGGGAGAAAACATGAGCATAGGCCAGGGAGAACATCTGAGCTCTGAGACTACCTGAGCAAAGACCACGGAGACCACCTGAGCACAGACCAGGGAGATCACCTGAGCCCTAGACAAGGGAGACCACCTGAGCACAGACCAGGTAGACCACCTGAGCCCTAGACCAGGGAGACCACCTGGGCTCTGAGACCACCTGAGCATAGACCAGGGAGACCACCTGAGCACAGACCACGGAGACCACCTGAGCTCTGAGACCACCTGAATATAGAGCCTCCCACAGGGCTCCCTCCAACACCTGCTAACAACACCCTCCCATGGGGCTTCTCCAACACCTGCTAACAACACCCTCTCATATCTCTCACAAACACCTAACACCCTCCAACATCTCACCAACACCTGCTAACAACACCCTCCCACAGGGCTCCAACACCGGGCCACTTGGCAGAAATGAGACCAAGTTACTTAAAGCCCAGAGTGACATCCAGGTCCAACGGCAGTCCTCATGATCTCCTCTTCGGGGACTTGTAACTACACCTCACCTCCACAATGCTCAGCCAAGGCTTTGTGCCCGGGGAGCCACACTCATCACCCCCAGCCATGTCTATTTCAAAGAAAGCTCTTGCCACTGGCGTTTGGAGATTCTGTCTGAGGTTCGAGAAGACCAGGTTGCCCTGACGCTTACTGATACACCCTACCTGCAGGGGGCGCCAGTTCACAGTAGGCTTTGTAGTCATCACTCATCTTCTCAATGGCTGCCTTCGGGTTCTTCAAGCAGAGCTCCTGGAAGCTCATTTTGCTGAAGTCTGCGGAGGGAGGCAGGACAGGGCTAGGGTCAGAGTGTCCACTCTGGGCTCAAGGATTTATTTATTCTGGAAGGCACTGCCTTTTAACTAGTATTTGGGTAGAAAAGTCATGTTTTGATGGGCAGCTTGTCCTGGGAATGCAAGCCCCCTACCGAAGCAGATGTGAGGACCCGAGCAGGGGCTTGGCCCTCCCTGGGATCTGGCAGGGTTTTCTTCCCGAGCGAGGCCGGGAGCCGCCAGCTGTGGTGCAGCTCACAGAGCAAGGCGTGTGAACGAGCCGAGCCTCTCATAGCTCCCGCCCCCGGCTCCTCTAGGACTCGGGGTTCTGAGGTCAGTGGTGGGCAGTCCCAGGCCGGGCCCTTTCTCCCCTCGGCTCTGGCTTGGGAAGGACTTAGAGTGGCAGCCCAGAACCTGAGTGGCTTCGGCAGCTGTGCCGTGGCTCCTGGGGGCGGGGGTGGGGGAGGGTGATGTTTTCTAGGTGCAGTTGGCCGCCATTGCTAACCCACCCGGGGGAACTGAGGGGGAGAGCCTGTTTGTACCCAAGATGCCACAGGGCCATCAGGCCTGTAAGCAACCCGGTCTGAGGAAGTTCGGGACAGGGAGCAGCAGCTCCGGCTGGGGGGAAGCCACGTGGGTGCTGGGGCCGGGCACCTGCTGGGGGGAAGCCACGTGGGTGCTGGGGCCGGGCACCTGCTGGGGGGAAGCCACGTGGGTGCTGGGGCCGGGCACCTGCTGGGGGGAAGCCACGTGGGTGCTGGGGCCGGGCACCTGCTGGGGGGAAGCCATGTGGGTGCTGGGGCCGGGCACCTGCTGGGGGGAAGCCACGTGGGTGCTGGGGCCGGGCACACCCAACGCATGCGCCTGGAGCTCTCCCACGCCGTGTCCTTGGCGTGGGTGGGGACACCGGGCTGTCTGTCAGCCAGGAGAACCTGGCCATCAGCCGACACAGCAGTGGCTCCCTGAGCCCCCATCCAGGTTTCCAGGGGATCAGCCCCTACCCCGCAGGGAGACCTCGGAGGGTGCTGTCTCCTGAGACCCCAATCTCCTGTCACAGAGGCGTGTGTTCCGGCCCCGGTGCTCTGTGAGCTTGTGGTACAGCCTGGAGACAGAGTCCACCCGGAGCCAGGGCCCCCGCCTGGGCCAATGGAAGGAGGCCCCAAGCCAGGTGGGACCGTGCCCCAAAGAGCAGTGGTGAGGAGGGAAGGCTGTGCTGAGGGTGGAGGCCCCGGGGGTGGCCACTTCCTGCCTGTGCTGACGCCCACTGCTGGCCCTGACTCCTGGGAGAGGCTGGGATGCTGAGTGGGTCGAGACCAAACACAGGTCTGCTCGAAGCAGATCCAAGTCGCCCAGGCAGGGCTCTGAGCGCAGGCCCAGGGACGGCTTTGCACACCGAGTGAGCGTGGAGGTTTTAAAGGGCTCAGTGCCACGGGTTTTCGTGATCTAACAGGTTCTGTCCGTGGAACACCTGCTTGCTATGCAAATGCTTTCAAAACGTTCTTGGAAATGGAATAAGATACATTTACGTTGGTGCCAAAAGAACTGAAATCCATGCATGGTGGCGTCTTCCGAAGGTTCATGGAAAACGCAATGATGAAAAGGCTGGGTATGGATCTCCAATTCCCTGAAGCCCTGCTGTGAGTCACCTTGAGCCCCGTCAACAAGACTGGGAAACGCAGGCCACCATCCCGCGGTGTGCGTGGAGGGGCGAGGGGCAGGGCGGGGTCAGCGCTCGAGCCGGTAGAGCAGGGACACAGCACGGCCATGGGTGCACAGGGTGTGCCGGCTCTCCTCTCCCTGTGCTTTCCAAAGTGCAGGTGCCGGCTCACACGCCCGTGGAGAGACGGGGCCAGCGCCAGCACGGGCAACCGGGGAGGCTCCCGTACATAGGTGTGTCCACGTATGTGGGTGTGCGGCTGAGGGCTCGTGAGGCCATGGGAGGCCAGTGGGCTGAGCGTGAGGGCTCTCAGCACCCTCCCACGTCTTAGTGGGTGCCACCCTGGTGGAGCCCTCTGGGTTTGCGTAGCAAAGGCGAATGCACACGGGCCTTCACGAGAGACAAGGAGTCTGGGGGCTGCAGGAAGTGATGCTGGGGTCTGCAGAGGGCACGGCAGCCCGTGGACCTGCTCCTGGGGTGCTGGGAGGAGGTGTGAGCTTACCTGTGCCCAGGTAACCGCGTGGCGCAGGCTTGGCTGGGGCTCCTCTGTCCGCACTCTGCCCCGGACATGGGACCTCCCCGTGCACCTCCCCTCTCACTCAGGTTATTTTGGCCGTTGGAGGAGTTGACCTTTCTGTGCCAGGCTGGACGCACAGTGACTGACCACTGGGTGGTGAACCTCCTTCCCCACCGCCCACGGCCCGGTGATGCCCTCACCTGCCAGGAACACCGGCGCCCTGACTTCCAGCTGCAGAGAGCCGCCTTGCCGCAGGTCCTCGGCCGCCAGCCGCCGCCACTGCGCCGCGTCCATCTCCTCCAGGTTGGCCAGCGCCTGGCTCAGCACCAGGGCTTCCTGGGTCCTCTTGTACAGGAAGGTGCTCTCTTCCATGCTCATGGCCGCTCTTTTACGCCACCGGGTCTTGACCAACCTGCTCTGAGTCTGGGGGAGGGGAGACAGTGTCGGCAGCAACAACCGGGGCACAAGCATGTTTGGTGACCTCCGGTTCCCTTGCCTCCCGCCACTCGCTGCCGCCCACTCCCCTGTGCCCACTCCCTCCCCGACACCCACTCCAGCACCCACTCCCCCCCAACTCCCTCCTGTCCATCACCTGGCACCTGACCACCACTGCTCCTCGCACACCCCGCCCACCCTCATCTGTCACCCTCCCCTGTCCTGGGGGAGAGCCCTATGTGCAGATGACTTCATCAAGGTCGGGGTCTTTCCTCTTGGGAGGTTTTCTTTGGGACACAGGGACCCTGCCAGTCTCTGGCTGCCTTCGGGGAAACGGTGACTTCACTCACTTAGCAAACAGGGTTTCTAAGGCAGCAGTGCCCCATTCCCAACCCCAACCCCTCACCGTGAAGTTGAGGAACCAGTAGTCATCCTCGTGTAGGAACTCGTCATACCAGGGGCTGAGGGCCTGGAAACAGACGTGGCGCCAGTGTTAGGGGCGCTGCTCGGCTTCTGGGGGGCCTTGGAGCTGGGGCCACCGCTGGCCTGAGTGTGGCCGCCCACAGAACCTTGCTCTGAGTCTGGAAGCCCTGTCCTCAGCGTAGATGTTGGAGAGGAGCCACGAGCCGGTTTGAAGACCGTCACTTCTCATCTGCCTGTTACTGCTTCCTGTCCAGAGAGTCCCCTCAAAACCAAGCACCTTCCAACCCGGCCCCGGGCAGCGGCGGCGATGGCCCAAGCGCCTGGCCCCTGCCACCCACCTGGGAGACCCCGATGGAGTTCCTGGCTCCTGGCTTGGACCCGTGCCCCATCCATTGCTGGCACGTGGGGAATGGAGTGCATGTATGAGGGTACTTCAAGTTTCTGAGAAACTGGAACTGAACGTAAGCTGATTTTGAGATGAAAAGTTTGAAATCACGCACAGGTGGGTGTGTGGCCTGGCTGTGAGGGTGCTGGTTGGGACACCCACATCCCATATCAGAGGACGTGAGTTCAAAGCCGGGCTCCGGCTCCTGACCTGGGAGGCAGCGGCGGCTCAAGTGACTGGGTTCCCGCCAGACTCCCGGCTCTGGCCCCAGTCCAGCCCTGGTGGCTGTGGGCCTTTGGAGACTGAGCCAGCGGACAGCAGCATATGTGTGTTCTATCTGCCTGCCCCTCTCTCTGCCTCTCAAACTTTTTAAAAGTGAAATCCATGCAGTTTTTGCATAACACAGATTTCCACGAATTCTGCAATTTTTTGCACCAAAATATACTTTTAAAATTTTTTTCTACAAACTACGATCCTAATACTGATCAAACCATAATAACTAAGCAGTATCTGAAACCCTACAACCATTTTTCTTTGTACTGTATTAGGGCTTCCCCCCCCCCCCCCCCCACTGGACAATCCCCTGCCCCAGCGCAGAGCATGTCGGAAGCAACAGGCAGAGTGTCGCGCTCCAGGCTCTGGGGGCGACTGGGTCTGTGTCGCAAGCACCTCGCTGAAGCTGCAGCCTCTGCTGAAGGCAGACAGGCGGCTGGGGTGCCTGGGATTCCCGCAACAGCCACGCGTCACTGGAGCGGCACTGGACGTAAGATCTACTCCCAGAGGGTGACAGAGAGGAAGAGAGGTCTTCTACCTACGGATTCCCTCCAGTCCCCAAATACCAGCAACGGAAGCGGCTCAGGCCCACGCCAGGAGCCAGGCGCTACATCGGCCTCGCAAGTACGTGGCCGGGGCCCAAGCGTGCCAGGCACGTTAGCCAGGAGACGGACCATAGTGGAGCAGCCGGGACCTGCACTGGCGCTCCCCCGTGGGCGGCAGGTGTCCTGAGCGGCGGCGCACCTGCTGGCCCGCCCCTCGGCAGAGTCCCGAGCACGCGGTACAGAACTGCTAATCCCGTCCTGTAGGCTGGGCCTGCGCGTTGCTCACGACCGAGACTTTGCTCCTCTAGTCAAGAAAACCTGTGTCTTTCAACACTTGTTCTTCTATTCTCAACTCACTTATTTTTCCCCTAATCTTTGGTATTTCCTTCCCTCTGGCAAGGTTGGGCCTGATTCTGCTTTCTGTAGCTCCTTGAGGTGTAAGGTTTGAATGTCTTTGGCGACCTCTACCCTGGCTTTGTGGGCAGTCGGGGGTGGAAACCCCTCTTAAATTTCAAGATCTTCCGTTCCTGTTTACTGCCACAGAATATCTTCCAGTTTACTTTTTGCTTTTCCCTTTGACTCAGAAGCTAAGCATGTGCTGTTTAATTGTATTTGTCAATTTTTTGTATTTTCTCTATTATGATTTCTAACTTGTTCTATTGTGATCAATCAGAAGTAGTTCCTGGAATACTTCCAACCCTGGTGTCTTTAGGGCTTGTTTTGAGACCGACTGCATGCTGGAGCCTGGCGAGCCCCTGTGTGCACCTGAGGGTAGGGAGAATTCTATCGGCTCAGCTAGAAAGTTCTGTGCCTGCAAGGTCACTTGGCTTTGTGGTTTCTGCATTTTCCCGTGTGAAAGGTCTCTTGGCAGTGGGGTATGGAAATCTCACTATTTCTCCCTTCAGATGTGTCAACGTTTGCTTTACATATCTGAGTGCTGGATGGGTGCACGCGTGGTCATCACTGTTATATGTTCCTGTCGAATGGCTCCTTCTGGTATTACATAACGACTTCTGTCTCTCCTGACAGCTTTGGTTTAAGTCATTTTTTCCCCTAAGTATGGCCACCCCGGTTCGTTTCTTCCTTTGCACGGAGCTTCATCTTCCTACACTGTCACTTGCAGTGGGGGGACTGGGGTCCCGGCCAGCCCCCTTCTCCCTGAGAGCTGACTGGCTGGGTGCCGTGAGAGGACGGGCCCTGGGCGGGGCGGGAACCGCGGGAAGCAGGTGACGGACGGGCCCTGGGGAGGGCCCACCTTGCAGATCTCCTTCTGGGCCTTGGGAATCCAGGGGTTCACGTCTCCGGAGGGCAGCAGCTCCCTCAGGCCCCGCAGGGTCTGCGGCCTGAGCGGCAGGCGCGGGCGGCTCTGCTCGCTCAGGTAGAGCTCGCAGATCCGGTCGCTCAGCACGTGGCGGAAGGCGGCCCTGCCGGTCGCCCTGTTGCTCATCAGGACGCTGAGGAAGTGGTGCAGGTCCTGCCACAGGCCCAGGAGCTGGGCCTCCACCGTCAGCCTCATCTTCCTCAGGTAGTCCCGGAAGGGCCCCCCGGCACAGGCGTCGGCACACAGGGCCCAGTGGGTGTAGGCGCAGGGCAGGCTCTGCCTGGACGCTCCCCTGACGGTCACCTGGGAGGGGTGGCTGATGATGGGGGTGGCGGTGCGCAGGTGCGTGGAGAACTTGGTCTCAAAGAGGCCCTCCATGCGCAGGTGGCCCGCGGCCTTCTTCTTCGCGCTGGGCTTCCGGGCAGGCGCGAGGTCCTTCTCCCGGGACCGGGCGGCCGTCTGCTCCGAGACCACCTCTGCGGAGGGCGGCGCGTGCAGACCCAGCGTCGCCGGCGGCCGCGCCTCGCCCGCGTCCGGCCGGGGCTCCATCTCCAGGGACTGGGCGCTGGGGTCCAGCTGCAGCCACAGCTTCCTCTTGGACGCCCTGCTGGAGTAGCGCCTCTGCGAGGGGAAGCCCTTCCGGATGCTCATGTTCAGAGGGAGCCCGCCGGCGCGCGCGCAGCCCACGCTGCCCAGGCGGCCCTCGTACTCCTGCAGCAGGCCGCGGCAGGCCTCCTCGCGCGCCAGCGCCGCCTTGGCGTGCGTGTAGAAGTTGGGGAGCCAGTAGCTCTGCAGCTTGAAGAGCGCCACCTTCTGCATGTGGCCGAGGGTCTCCCTCCGCGTGGTCGACTGGTGGGGATGCCAGATGGACAGGTTCAACAGGGACTCTGCGGGGACGAGAGGAGCGGACCTGAGCGGACGCCCGTCCGGAGGGAGTGCGCTGGGCGGAAGTGACGGAACGCCCAGCCGGAAGTGTGCTGGGCGGAAATGACGTGTGGTGGGTGGGCGGGACATGGAGGACGGAAGTGATGTATGCCAGCCGGAAGGGATGGGGCGGAAGTGACCTGCGGCGGCCCAGCAGGGACTGGAGAGCCCTATGGTTTTCCCCAGCGTCTCCGCTCCTCGGACGCTCGGGCACTCGGGCGGGGCGGGCACAGCACGCACCCCGAGGACTTCCCGGAGGTCCGCTCACGCTCAGCCACCCTGTCTCTCCCTTCCGCCCTCCCCATCACACTATGAATGTTGTAAAGAAAAGTACGGGGTCCGCAGGGTCATTCATGACGGAGGAGGGGCCGGGGCCGGGGTGTGAGAGGAAATCCCGCAAACCCCGGAGGGCCTGGTGGTGCAGGGCCCAGGCCGGCCCTGGTCTCCCGTGCAGGGCCCCGGGCCGCGCTTGAGGCCTGTGAGCCACACGTGCCTTCCTCTGGCTTCCAGCCCTCGAAACTGGCGCTGCACAGGCGTTTGGCCTGCTGGTCACCGCAGCCCTGTCCATGCGGGAGCGCCCGGCTCCAGCTTCCGGCTGCAGTGCTCCCTGGGAGGCGGCAGTGACGGCCCAAGTTCTGGGGTCCCTGCCGCTCGGGGGACCTGGACTGAGTTTCCAGCCCCAGCTTTGGTCTGGGCCAGCCTCAGCTGTCACGGGCATTTGGGGAGGGCGCGAGTGGATGGAGCGCTCTCGTGCTCCATGCCTACTTCCCAAGTAATAATTAAAAATAAAAACAGAAAAGTATGCATTTAGCCCGCTTGGCCGCAGGCTGTAGTCTGTTCTAGAGAACTCTAGTCCAGAAGAAAAAAATGGCCGCAGTCTCGGGCTCAGATGGCACAGGGGCTCCTCGACACCCCGTCCCTAGCCCTCTCCACGGCCTCCGGCCACCCTTCCTGCGGGCCACACCTCAAGGGCCAGCCTGGGCAGTGGGTCCCTTCCACACGCTCCCGGGAACGCGGCCGCGGGCAGCCCGCAGCCTGCAGGCGGAGGGGAGGGGCGGCGCAGGGGGGCGGGGCCTCACTGATGTTCACGTTGCAGAGCGTCAGCACGCGGGAGCCCTCCTGCAGGTGGGTGGCCTTCAGCGCCAGCAGAAGGGACAGGTAGTGGTCCTCCACCTCCGGGTCTGTCTCATCCAGGCTTAGGATCTTCTCAGCAAGGATCCAGAAATCCACCAGCTCCTCCCCTGCGGACCAGAGGGGCAGGCTCGGGGCTGCACCCAGCGTCCCCAGCGACCCTAGCGACCACTCCTGGGGCTGAGGCTTCCCCTGCCGGTGAGCGGGGAAGGTGGAGGCCTTGGTGACTTTTTGTTGCTAGAAAAGCTGTCACTTTGGGGAAAACCGTGAGCTCTGAGGGCGGCCGGGGGACATCTGCGGGGTGGGGGAGGGGTAGAACACCTTCTGGGCCGTGGACCCCAGGCAGTCGGCAGAAGGACACAGGAGCCAAGGTGCCAGCAGCCACAGCCCGCTGCGGCCTGCTCCCTGGAGCCCGGGTGTCACCCCTGCAACTCGGGCTTGTCCCTGCCGAGACTTGGTGCTGCTGAGCCGGGCTGCCCCCCCCCCCCCCCCCCCCCCCCCCCCCCCGCCTGCAGCCACTGCCAGGCCCCGGCAGCCTGGACTCAACAGGCCAGGAGGCTGTGGGCCCAGCACTGTGTGCGTGCGGTCTGTCTCCCACCATGGCGGCAGCTTCACAAAGCAGACTCTCAGCTCTTGCCCAGCTGGGTGTCTCCTAAAACGCAGCGGCTGCCCTGCAGTGGGGCTCAGCAGATGCCAGTGAGTGGGTGATGCATGAATGAATGAACGCAGGGACTCAGCGCTTGCAGCCCAACCTCCCAGAGCCACCGGTGTTTCTCTGGTGGCCACCGCAGACGCTCGCGGCTGCCGACGGGGGCTCTGGGGCCCCTGGACGCTGGCAGAGCTTGCAGAGGCCAGGACCGCGGGAACGCACCTGCACTGCCCTTGAGGTAGGAGCAGAAGCGCCACATGCCCCGGACCCCACCAGCGCACTTCTGGAGCAGCCACTGGTCTGCCGTCTTCCACCTCATCATCTTGGCTGCCAGGAAGAGTCACGGTGAGAGAGAGAGGGAGCTCTTCCCAGCCGCCCCACCTCGCGCACAGCCAGGCCCCCATTCGCTGCGCGCTCTAACACCGGGCAGCCTCAGTCGGGGGCTGGATGTGCGCTGAGGCAGGGGTGTGGGGAGCAGCGAGCGGGCAGTGAACGCAGGAGTGGCGCGAGGGCACGCAGCGTCCGCCCGTGGCGTGCGCTCATTCACGCTGTGTGACCGTCACCTCCCTGCACCCCCAGAACTGCCTTCTCTTGGAAACAGACTCCGCACGCACTGAACACCCACTCCCCGGCCACCCCCAGCAGCCCCACGCTGCCTCCTGTCTCCAGGTCCCTTGTGAGATGACGCATGCAGCCTCCCCTTTGGTGATGGGCACACGTCCCTGCGGGATGCGTGTGCCGTGCGATCGCCACGTGTGTGCAGAGACCACACCTGGCTTACTCATTCGCCCGCTGATGGACACCTGCTGGCTCCCGCATCTCAGCCGTGTGGACGCTGTCGTAGGACGACAGGTGCCCCTGGAGGCCCCATTTGTGCACCGGGGCAGGCATGCTGGGTCTCATGCTGGCTCTGTTTCCGGTGTTTGAGGAACTTCCAGGCAGCTTTGCCCGCAGCTGCACCACGTGACGTCCCACCCAGGATGCACGGGCTCCGGGCTGCACGGCCTCACCAACACTTGTTTGTGGCTTTTGACCATGGGCGTCTTGATGGGTGTGAGGTGGCTACTAGCCGTGGCTGCGACTTGCGTTTCCCTCGTGATTAGGGGCCACTTGTGCACCTTCGCTGCAGAAACCCGCACTCGGGCCCCTGCCCAGTTTTGCATCCTGTGTGTGTTTGCTGTGTCTTCTTGTTCAGGTTCAGTTCTCTGTGTATTGTAGATATCACTCCGTCATCAGGCAAGGTGATTTCCAAGTATTTCCGTTGACCCTATGGGCTGCCTGTTTAGTCTTTTTTTTTTTTTTTTTTTTTTTTTTTTTTTTGACAGAGTTAGACACAGAGAGAGAAACAGAGATAAACGTTTTCCTTTTTCCATTGGTTCACCCCCCAAGTGGCCGCTACAGCCGGCGTGTTGTGTCTGGCGTGCTGCGCCTATCGGAAGCCAGGAGCCAGGTGTTTCCTCCTGGTCTCCCATGCAGGTGCAGGGCCCAAGGACTTGGGCCATCCTCCACTGCCTTCCTGGGCCACAGCAGAGAGCTGGACTGGAAGAGGAGCAACCAGGACAGAATCCAGCGCCCCGATCGGGACTAGAACCCAGGGTGCTGGTGCCACAGGTGGAGGATTAGCCTAGTGAACCGCGGCGCCAGCCACTAAGTCTTTTTGATACATACATTTAAAAATCTTTCCTGAAGTCTAATTTTTTTTCTCTACCTTTGCAGTCACATCTGCGAAATCACTGTCAAATACAATGTCATAAAGATTTTGTTCTATGTTTTCCTTTGAGTTTTAGTTCTTCCATTTAAGTCTTTGATTCATTTGGAGTTATTTTTTAGTTTCTATTTATTTACTTTAAAATTTATTTATATGAAAGGCAGAGTGACAGAGAGAGAGGGACAGAGAGAGAGAGAGAGAGAGAGAGAGATCTTTTATCTCCTGGTTCACTCTCCAGTGGCCACAACCACCATGGCTGGGCCAGGCTGAAGCCAAGAGCCAGAATTTTCCACACAGGTCTCCCACATGGGTGGCAAGGGGCCAAGTGCTTGGCCATCTTCCACTGAATTCCCAGGAGTGTTAGCAGGGAGCTGGGTCGGCAGCAAGCGACCGGCACTCTGCCAGGAGACGTGGCTGAGCCTGCTGTGCCACAGTGCCAGCCCCTGCAGCTGTGTTTAGGATTTCCTCTTCAGACTGTTCGGTCTGAGGACAGAGTTACAGCTCGTCTCTGTGCACTGCCTCTCTACCTGCTGCGGGTATCGCGATGGTCCGTCCAGCTGCAGATGTGTGTAACTATGGGGTGACCTTGCAGTGCTGGACTTCGCATCAGCATACGCTGGCCTCTGTCCTCGTGACTGCCGAAGCTCGTTTGGTGGAAGTTGCTGCAGGCAGCAGCGCGTTGTGTGGGCGACTGCTCTCATGCGGCGTCTGTTCCCATCCACTCACTTTCCGCCCGTCCAGGTCTCTGTTAGCCTGTTTTCTGTTAGTCTGTTTTCATCACAGACTCGGTGAGTTGGAAAGGAAACAGGTTCACCAGCAGACGGAAGAACTCTCTCTGACTCCCCCTCCCTTTGTCTGTGACTCCACCTCTCAAATAAATAAAAATCTTTAAAAAAAAAAAAAAAGAGAAAGGAAACAGGTTCACTTTGGCCCACAGTTCTGAGCGGCGAGGTCAGGGCCGCACGTGGTGAGGGCCTCTGGCAGAGTCCCCAAGGCAGCACCGGGCATCAGAAGACGGGGAGCACGCGTGTTTGTGTGTCTGGCTGGCGGCTCCCTCTTCTTAAATTTTTAAAAAAGATTTATTTATTTATTTATTTGAAAGAGTTATAGAGAGAGAGGAAGAGAGAGAGAGAGAGAGATCTTCCAGTCACTGGCTCACTCCCCAAATGGCCACAACAGTCAGGGCTGGGCCAGGCTGAAGCCAGGAGCCAGGAGCTTCTTCCTGGTCTCCCACGTGGGTGCAGGGGCTCAAGCACCCGGGCCATCTTATGCTGCTTTCTCAGGCCATAGCAGGGGCTGGATCTCAAGTGGAGCAGCCAGGACTCAAACCTGCGTCCATGTGGGATGATGGTGTCACAGGCAATGGCTTCGCCTGCTGTGTCACAGCGCTGTCCCTCCCTCTTCTTAGGGAGCCACCAGGACTGGGTAATGGGGCTCCAGTCTAAGGACTTTATCCAACCCTGAGCTCCTCCCCGTGGTCCCCGCGGACAAACTGTGGCATCGGCTTTGTAGGTGGAGGGAGTCTCCTGCAGACACGTGAAGCTGGGCCTTATTTTTCAATTGATTCTGCCATCCTTCGCCCTTTGGTTGAAGAGTTCAATCCATTTGCACTCAGAAGTTACCAGTAAGTGGGGGCCTCCTCTCATTTGCCGTTTGTTCTCCACGTGCCCCAGGTCCTTCTCGGTCCTCAGTTCTGCACCGCTGTTCTTGCCTCCTGTGTCTTGTTGGCGTCTGAGTTCCTTGCGCATCTGCCTCATTCCACGGCTGTTTCCTGGCAGTCAGCGGGGCTGTGTTTAACCCTGCAGGTATACAACACTCGAGCGTAGTTTGCGACAGCGTAGCTTCAGTAACGTAACAGTCGGCTCCGTCACGGCTCTGTCTCCATTCCTTCTGGTGGTTGATGTAAAAAATGCTGCATCGTTACACCTGAGCGCCCCCAGACATAAACCAGTCGTTTGGCAGCCTGCATTCGACTCTCGTACGGAGACAACAAAATGTAATATGGAGTGAAAATCAAAGTTGCAGTTATGCCAGCCTTTAGACTAATAGGCTCTTTAAAAACTATCCGGTCTCTTAAATAAGCAGCAAACAGAGAGCGCTAACAAGTCGCTGTCGGTGACGCAGCTTCTCTAGGTCCACGTCCCCACTTCCCTGAGCCCTGGCCTCCACCTCCCGCTACGCAAGGCTCCCTCAGGCAGGTCCCCCGGGAAGCTCCCCCAGCCTCTCTTTATCTGGGGCTGTCACTTCACTCTGATTTTCAAAGAAAGTTTTCCTGCGTAGAGTCTGATCACTGGTTGTGTTTTTTTTGTTTTGTTTTGTTTTTGTTTTTTTTCGATTTTAGGAATTTGAATGTATTAGCTCACTGGGCCCTGGACTTGAAAGTCTCCATGAGGGGCTGACGCTGCGGCTCACTAGGCTAATCCTCTGCCTGCGGCGCCGGCACCACTGGTTCTAGTCCCGGTCGGGGCGCCGGATTCTGTCCCGGTTGCCCCCTCTTCCAGTCCAGCTCTCTGCTGTGGCCAGGGAGTGCAGTGGAGGATGGCCCAAGTGCTTGGGCCCTGCACCCCATGGGAGACCAGGAGGAAGCACCTGGCTCCTGGCTTTGGATCAGTGCGGCGTGCCGGCCGTAGCGGCCACTTGGGGGGGTGAACCAATGGAAGGAAGACCTTTCTCTCTCTCTCTCTCTCTCTCACTGTCCACTCTGCCTGTCAAAAAAAGAAAGTCTCTGTGAGGAATCAGCGTGTGATCTCCTGAGGATCCCTGTGAGTGGGGAGTCTCCTCTCTGCCGCGTTTGTCTTCCGAGAGCTCGATTATAATGTGTCTTGGTGTGGGCTTGAGCTCGTCTTACAGCAGTCCATTGAGCCTTGTGCCTGTTTGCATTCGTGTATTTCAGAGTCCAGAGCACTAACCGTTAACTGTGGGACCCACATGCGCGAATTCCGTCAGGTTTTGTGGCCGCGTCTATGCAGTGTCCTCTCGCCGGCTCTGCCCCTCCTCTTCCTTGGGACCCTCACAGTGCAGCGCTGCTCTGCCTGCCAGTGTCCCGGTGCCCTTAGGCCCTGCGCCCCTTCCTCAGCCTCTGCTCCTCTGTCTTGTCTTTGGCTTCCAGGTTCTTCTGCCTTTGAGTCTCTCTGCTGGACTTTTCACTTCTATTGTTGTACTTTCAGCTCAAAGTTTTCTTTTTGACCTATTTTTTCGGCTTTCTCTCTCTCGACTGACACTTCCATTCTCAGACATCATTGTCATTCTCCACATCTCCCCCGGGGTCTTGGAGCACCTTTGAGACCGTTGTTTCAACGTCTTTGTCTAGTAGATCTGACAACAGGGCTTTTTCAGGGACAGTTTCTTTTGATTTGTATATTTCCACGTAAAGGGGTCCTGCTTTCCTGTTTCTTTGTATGCCATGTGAGTTTTCTGGCTGAAGGCTAGTCATTTCCAGGTGAGCTTTTTGGCTGAAGGCTAGTCATTTCCAGGTGAGCTTTTTGGCTGTTATTTCAATCTAATAATGCAGAACTTCTGGAAATCCACTCCTTCCTAGATGTGGTGGAATGAGAAGGCCGTGCCAAGATGGCCACTGGCAAGTGAGCGTCAGTTAGTCAGGAATGGCTTTGGAACGCACCTGGCAATGGAGCCTGCCTGGCAACAGGCAGTGATTGGTTATGGCATAAACCGCCCCTTGACCACATTGGCTGCCTCGGCTGTATAAGCTGCTGCACCAACTGAAATAAACGAGTCTGCGAGCTGCTCACCTCTGGCCTGCTTTCACCACACTCCCGGGGTCTGTGTCGTGACTCCGTGCCTCTTGCCCTCACCACGCTCCTCCTCTCAGAACGAATCCTCAGCAACACCTAGAGTTTCCTGAGTTTTGCTATGATGTTTGTTTCTGAGGTTTAGAGTTTTTGCAGGATGTTTCTGTGCCAGGGGTCAGCCTGGGGGATGAACTCAGGTCTTCTTGGGTCTTTTCTGAGCCTGCACCTGTTCCTAGTCATTAGTTGTGTTCCCAGCCTTCTCCATATGTGCAGCAGCATCTCAGTGTCCTGCTCTTTAATGTCTGCCTCCCACGAGAAAGAGAAAAACACAGGGGAAGAGGGATGTCGGACCGTCAGCGGGGGACCTTCACTTCCCTGGAAGGACTGGGTGCACCCCTGGGGAGGTGCATCAAGAGTGGCCACACTCCCCTCTGCTGTGCTTCTTCGACCAGAGCAGAATCAGCACTTGGAGCACAGACCCCTAGGGTGTGGAAGACTCGGTCCTCTTTGCTCACCCTGGCTCACAGAACAGGTGCACAGCTCTGCCTGTCCCGGGCTGTGGCTGTGTGGCTGTCACCATGTGAGAACTGGCCTTGAGTGACACTGGCTGACATGCACAGCCTACGATCTCAACAGACTCAGAGTTCCAAAGTGGTTTCATCAACAGATGCCACCTTTGTGGTCAGCCAGGCGAGGAGACAAATTCTGGGAGTGTCCCACTGTCCCATCTCCTCGGAACGCTCCTCCTCTGGTGAGATTTGGAAGGCCCACGCGGGCTGCTGTTAGCAGGAGAGCAAGGTCAGAAGCAAGTTGTGTTAGGAGATGGTTTCAGTTCCCAGGTAAGAAATGACGGTGTTTAGGCCAGATGGTGGGACGAAAGCGGTGAGATTTGTCAGACCCTGGTATGCATGGACAGTTTCACCTTGTGAGGTCCACAGACCAGCCCATGTGACTCCTGCTCACTGCTCCGGGGGACAGTTTTTCAGCAGACAGTGTACTGCTGCACCATGGGCTGGGCCACCCACTTGTCACAAACTCAGTCAGCATTTGCACCTTGTAGGAGTGGATTGCTTTGCAGTAGGGCCTCTGTTTCTACACACACACACACACACACATGCACAGGCACACACATGCACACGCGCGCACGTACACACATGCACACGCACACACAAGCACAGGGACACACATGCACGGTACACATGCATGCGCACACACATGTACATACATGCACATGTACACACATGCACAGGCACACACATGCGCATGCACGAGTACACACATGCACAGGCACACACACTTGCACACACGCATGCACAGGCACACACACATGCACAGGCACACACATGCACAGACACATGCACAGGTACGCACACATGCACAGGCACACACATGCACAGGCACACACATGCACAGGCACACACACTTGCACACACGCATGCACAGGCACACACACATGCACAGGCACACACATGCACAGACACATGCACAGGTACGCACACATGCACAGGCACACACATGCACAGGCACACACATGCACAGGTACACACATGCACAGGCACACACAGGCACAGGCACACACCTGCACAGGTACACACCTGCACAGGTACACACCTGCACAGGTACACACAGGCACAGGCACACACATGCACAGGTACACACATGCACGAGTACACACATGCACAGGTACACACGTGCACAGGCACACACATGCACAGGCACACACATGCACAGGCACACACAGGCACAGACACACACATGCACAGGCACACACATGCACAGGCACACACATGCACAGGTACACACAGGCACAGGCACACACATGCACAGGTACACACATGCACAGGTACACACATGCACAGGCACACACATGCACAGGTACACACAGGCACAGACACACACATGCACAGGCACACACATGCACAGGTACACACAGGCACAGGCACACACATGCACAGGTACACACATGCACAGGCACACACATGCACAGGCACACACATGCACAGGCACATGCACAGGTACACACATGCACAGGCACACACATGCACAGGCACACACATGCACAGGTACACACAGGCACAGACACACACATGCACAGGCACACACATGCACAGGTACACACAGGCACAGGCACACACAGGCACAGGTACACACATGCACAGGCACACACATGCACAGGCACACACATGCACAGGCACATGCACAGGTACACACATGCACAGGCACACACATGCACAGGCACACACATGCACAGGTACACACAGGCACAGACACACACATGCACAGGCACACACATGCACAGGTACACACAGGCACAGGCACACACAGGCACAGGTACACACATGCACAGGCACACACATGCACAGGCACACACATGCACAGGTACACACAGGCACAGGCACACACATGCACAGGTACACACAGGCACAGGCACACACATGCACAGGCACACACATGCACAGGTACACACAGGCACAGGCACACACATGCACAGGTACACACATGCACAGGTACACACATGCACAGGCACACACATGCACAGGTACACACAGGCACAGGCACACACAGGCACAGGCACACACATGCACAGGTACACACATGCACAGGCACACACATGCACAGGCACACACATGCACGAGTACACACATGCACGAGTACACACATGCACAGGTACACACATGCACAGGCACACACAGGCACACACATGCACAGGCACACACATGCACGAGTACACACCCGCACAGGCACACACCCGCACAGGCACACACACACTTACCTCCTTCTGCGGATTTGATGAAATTGATGAGCTCCTGGCAGAGAATGTAGTGGAAGCACAAGTTTGTTTTACAGAAGAAAGGTAACCGGTATTTCTCCAACCAGGTCAACAGTCCTTTGTACTTGGCAATCTAGAGTTCAGACAGAACAGCAACAGGAAAGGTCATGGAGCTGAACTGCCGGGACGTGGCGCTCGGCTGGGGCAGTTAGGGGATCCCCATCTGTGGGATCTGGCAGGAGGAGCCGGGTGGTGCTGATTAAAACAGCACCCAGTGGACAGCAGACGAAGCCAGGGACGGGAAGGGAAAAGCCTGGTCGCTCCTCAGAGCTGCCTGCTTCCCAGGGGAAGCTGTCTGAGTGAAGCGCTAAGCCTTGCCTGGCACCGGAAGCAGAAAAAGTTTTGTTCCAGGGTGTGGGGTCACAGCGCTCCCGCTCGCCTCTTGGTGGACACACTTGTAATTTCTCGCATATACCCAGCCTGTATCAATCGCACAGCGTGTGCCCAAGCACCGAGGCTGACGCATGACAGTATCTGGGGTCCAGGACGGGTGCCCGTGGGTCCAAGCTACCAGAAAGGGCAGAGAAACTTGGGAAATGTGAGCGTCAGGTTCTCTTAGGGAACCAGGGTTGGCGTCTCCTCTTGGCTCTGCACGACTCAGAGACGGCTGAGACCTTGGTGTGGGCAGGGCCTGGAGGGGAAGTGCAGGTGGCAGGTGTCACATCTCGCAGTGGGAAAGCAGAGCAGGAAGGGGAAAGCAGAGATGAGAAAGTAGACAGGGGAAGGAAAAACCACGTCATCTGAAAAGAAGGTTGAGAGAAAGTCGTGTCCCTGGAGGAGAGTGGACAGGGGTCCTGAGAACTGCGGCTGGCATCTCACTGTGATCCGCCTTGGAAACACCGCCCTCCACCCCCGGTCCCGACCTCACGGCCCCGGGGGCTGCACACCCGCCTCACACCAGGTAAGCACCGTCAATCAATCCCCGCACTTTCCTGCTTCCGAGTGGCCTCAAAGGTCACCTTGGCACAGAGCTCCATGCATCTCCCGCCCAACAGTCGTAGTGGACATGAGAGAAGGAAGCCTGGCCAGGCACTGCTTGCCCGAGAGGCAACGGCGTTCAAAGCAGAGCTGCCTGCCTCGCTCGGTGCCCGCAGCTCTGCCCCTGCCTCACAGTTCACTCCAAGGCCACCCCTGGGCCCCTCCCCCCCCAATTCACCCTCCAATGCAGCTCCCCTTGCCCTGCCCCGACCGCTCAACGTTCACGACTGACTCACCAAGTCGTAAGGTATGTCTGGCCACAGGCTCCACTGTGAATTCTCCACAGTATAGAATGGCGTCTGCCCAAAGACCTGCACAAGAAGACGGGAAACAGGCATGGGGCTGCTCCGCGTGCTCAGAGCACCAGCCCGCCGCGGTCACGGGGGCCTCCCAGGTCAGCGGACGTCACATCTTAAGTTCATTCCACTGAGTCGAGTTGCGCAGTCTCCCAACCCGGCTGAGCTGCCCCGCGTTGTGGTCCTGGGAGCCACCCGCTGTGGGCAAGGACAAGACGCTGATGTTCCGGCTGTCCCCTGTGCAGAGCGGGGATCCAGAATTAGAGTCAGGGTCCGAGGCCTCCCCGGGTGAGGAACGGCTTTGGAGTCCCCAAAATCTTGGACTGGAGACAGCAGAGGACTGAAGCCGTGAAGACCAGGGCTGTGAACTCAGGGCGGGGGGCATGCTCCCAGAGTGTCCCCACAGGAGAGGCGGAGGCACGGAGCGGGGACTGCCATGGAGGCAGCCGGCTCTGAAACCGAGGGGCGGCTCCTTCGTGTGTCCGACTGAGCGTAAGCCGAGCCACCGGGGCACCTGCTGTCTCGAAGCACCCATGGGGCTGGGCTTGAGCTATAATCACGGCAACCCGACCGTCCCCCCAGACCATGCCCCCAGTCAGTGTCCGGCCCCTCACTCGGCCCTTTAGGAAAATGGCAGGGCTACCCACATTGGACAACACACGCCCTGAGGCGCCCCAGTCCTGGGGTGCACACACAGGCCTGAGGACCCCTTGTTACTGGTAGGGGGTGTATGGCAGGAGGTGAGGTCCAGAGGTGAGGTTGTGGAGGATTGGAAGGGGTTTTGCTAACTGCTGTCGGCTGGCTTGAGCCAGAGGCCTTGGGCCCCTCTCAGAGCAGCCCAGAGTCACTGTGCTGTCAGGGGGCCAGCCGTGGGACAGAAATCCATGGGCAGGGATGTGAACTGGCAGGGTGTGAGCTGGCAGGGTGTGAGCAGGCAGGGTGTGAACTGGCAGGGGTGTGAACTGGCAGGAATGTGAACTGAAGCATGTGAGCTGGCAGAGTGTGAGCAGGCAGGGTGTGAACTGGCAGGGTGTGAGCTGGCAGGGTGTGAGCTAACGGTGTGAACTGGCAGGGTGTGAACTGGCAGGGGTGTGAACTGGCAGGGTGTGAGCAGGCAGGGTGTGAACTAGCAGGGATGTGAGCTGGCAGGGTGTGAACTGATAGGCTGTGTGAACTGGCAGGGTGTGAGCTGGCAGGAGACTCAGCCACAGTGCTACTGTGTCCCACTGATTGCAGTGGCCTCAGTGCCCAGGATGGCCTCGTGCCTTTCCCCGTCACTGTGCTTCCGGAAGGTTCTGTGAGCTGTTCCTGGAGTGTTGGTGAAGTGACTGGAGCAGCTGTCAGGAAGACCTGTGCAGGGCCAACAGTGAGTCAGGGCCTCCCCAAACCCACTCCAGGACAGGCCTCTCCCCCCCATTTCCCTCCAGCAGGACAGAGGAATAAGCCCCTGGCAGTGAGCCTGAGCTGGTGCCTGCTGGCCCCAATGTCCCCGGGGGTCTCCGGTCACCCTAGGGATGCCATCGAGACTCCCAGGCAGGGCCTGCCTGACCCAGAGCCAGTGTGGCTGCCTGAGCGCCTGGCTGCTCTCTGGGCCTCTCCCTGGGCGCCTGAGGGCTGAGCACTGCGCAGCCGTCTGTCTGTCGCTGTGCAAGGCCTTTGCTCCTTGCTGGGCGGTCCCTGCTCTGCCTCTGCTGCTTCCAGACCCCTCGTCTCCACTCCTCCTCCTCTCCTCTCCATCTCACCTCCTCCTCACCTCCTCCTCTCCTCCTCATCTCCTCACCCCCTCCTCATCTCCTCACCTCCTCCTCACCTCCTCCTCCTCTCATCTCCTCTCCTCCTTCTCTCCTCACCTCCTTACCTCCTCCTCACCTCCTCCTCTCCTCCCATTTCCTCACCTCCTCCTCTCCTCACCTCCTCCTCACCTCCTCCTCTCCTCACCTCCTCCTCACCTCCTCCTCTCCTCACCTCCTCCTCACCTCCTCATCTCCTCACCTCACCTCCTCATCTCCTCTCCTCCCCTCACCTCCTCCTCACCTTCTCCTCTCCTCATCTCCTCACCCCCTCCTCACCTCCTCATCTCCTCACCTCACTTCATCTCCTCTCCTCCCCTCTCCTCCTCCTCTCCTCCTCCTCTCCTCACTTCCTTACCTCCTCCTCACCTCCTCCTCTCCTCTTCTCCTCTCCTCCTCTCATCTCCTCTCCTCTTCCTCTCCTCACCTCCTCCTCACCTCCTCACCTCCTCCTCTCCTCACCTGCTCACCTCCTCCTCTCCTCCTCACCTCCTCACCCCTCCTCATCTCCTCACCTCCTCCTCACCTCCTCCTCCTCTCATCTCCTCTCCTCCTCCTCTCCTCACCTCCTCCTCACCTCCTCCTCTCCTCCCATTTCCTCACCTCCTCCTCTCCTCACCTCCTCCTCACCTCCTCCTCTCCTCACCTCCTCCTCACCTCCTCCTCTCCTCACCTCCTCCTCACCTCCTCACCTCACCTCCTCATCTCCTCTCCTCCCCTCACCTCCTCACCCCCTCCTCACCTCCTCATCTCCTCACCTCACCTCCTCATCTCCTCTCCTCCCCTCACCTCCTCCTCACCTTCTCCTCTCCTCATCTCCTCACCCCCTCCTCACCTCCTCATCTCCTCACCTCACTTCATCTCCTCTCCTCCCCTCTCCTCCTCCTCTCCTCACCTCCTCCTCACCTCACCTCCTGCTCTCCTCCTCACCTCCTCCTCTCTTCCTCCTCTCCTCCTCCTCTCCTCTTCCCCCCTTAGCTCCTCCTCTCCTCACCTCCTCACCTCCTCCTCTTCTCACCTCCTCATCTCCTCTCCTCCTCCTCTCCTCCTCCTCTCCTCTTCCCCCCTTAGCTCCTCCTCTCCTCACCTCCTTACCTCCTCCTCTTCTCACCTCCTCCTCTCCTCACCTCCTCCTCTCCTCCTCCTCTCCTCTTCCCCCCTTAGTTCCTCCTCTCCTCACCTCCTCATCTCCTCACCTCCTGCTCTTCTCACCTCCTCATCTCCTCACCTCCTCCTCTCCTCACCTCCTGCTCTCCTCACCTCCTCATCTCCTCACCTCCTCTCCTCCTCCTCTCCTCACCTCATCCTCTCCTCTTCCCCCCTTATCTCCTCCTCTCCTCACCTCCTCCTCTCCTCACCTCCTCTTCTCCTCACCTCCTCTCCTCATATCCTCTCTCTTAGTGTGTGGGTGCATTTGGGAATGGGTGTGGGTGCCAGGTGCACTCTGGGTAGGGTGTGGGGTGTGGGTGCCAGGGTGCCCTCTGGGTAGGGTGTGGGTGCCAGGTGCACTCTGGGTAGGGGTGTGGAGTGTGGGTGCCAGGTGCACTCTGGGTAGGGGTGTGGAGTGTGGGTGCCAGGTGCACTCTGGGTAGGGGTGTGGAGTGTGGGTGCCAGGTGCACTCTGGGTAGGGGTGTGGAGTGTGGGTGCCAGGTGCACTCTGGGTAGGGTGTGGGCTGTGGGTGCCAGGTGCACTCTGGGTAGGGTGTGGGCTGTGGGTGCCAGGTGCACTGTGGGTAGGGGTGTGGAGTGTGGGTGCCAGGTGCACTCTGGGTAGGGGTGGACTGGGTGCCAGGTGCACTCTGGGTAGGGGTGTGGAGTGTGGGTGCCAGGTGCACTCTGGGTAGGGGTGGACTGGGTGCCAGGTGCACTCTGGGTAGGGGTGTGGAGTGTGGGTGCCAGGTGCACTCTGGGTAGGGGTGAACTGGGTGCCAGGTGCACTGTGGGTAGGGGTGGACTGGGTGCCAGGTGCACTCTGGGTAGGGGTGGACTGGGTGCCAGGTGCACTCTGGGTAGGGTGTGGGCTGTGGGTGCCAGGTGCACTGTGGGTAGGGGTGTGGAGTGTGGGTGCCAGGTGCACTCTGGGTAGGGGTGGACTGGGTGCCAGGTGCACTCTGGGTAGGGTGTGGGCTGTGGGTGCCAGGTGCACTGTGGGTAGGGGTGTGGAGTGTGGGTGCCAGGTGCACTCTGGGTAGGGGTGGACTGGGTGCCAGGTGCACTCTGGGTAGGGGTGTGGAGTGTGGGTTCCAGGTGCACTGTGGGTAGGGTGTGGGCTGTGGGTGCCAGGCGCAGTCAGGCCTGCTCTCGGATCCAGCATTGGTGAGGGGAATGACTTCTGGGCAGGCAGTGGAGGAGGCGGGAGAGTTAGGAATCCATGTTGGACAGCGGGAGTCCTGGGCGTATCAGTGGTATTCTGGCTCACGTTTATTTGCTGAGATTGGAAGAGTTTTTCATATGGAATTTCGTGAAAATAAAGTAACTGCTAAGCCAGAAGTGAGTGCCAGGTCGGTGGTTTGCGTGTTCGGCGGTTACACGAACGTCTAGATGAAGCCACGAGCTCACCGGCAGGGAAAGGAATGTGTTGAAAAAATCGGCAAAAGTCTCATCCTCCAGCAGAATGATGAGGTTTGTAGACCCGATGAGCTCTGTGTGGGGACAAGGCAAAGCTGGGCTGCTGGCTCCGCCCTGGCCGGCCCACCACCCCTCCCCTGCGCCCACCCCGGCCCACCTGGCCCGCCCATCAGGAGCAGGCTGGTCACCTGGGCCGGGGCCTCTGAAAGGGGCGGAGCTGCTGGCTGTTGCAGCCTGGCTGGTCCTCACACGGCCACACTTCTGCAGTGGGGCCAGTGGGGCCACACCCCAGCCCAGCCTCGCAGGGTCAGCGGCCTGCAGGGGCGTGGCTCTGGGGGCCCTCCTGCGCACCCTGCTTGAAGTACGCAGTCGCTTTTCTGAAGCCGAGGACAGGAGTTTGCAGGATTCCCGTTGGACTTCAGTGTGGGCTGGGGTTGCTGCCTGGGCCGTGGAACAAGCTCACTCCAGTCTGACCAGGACAGCGGATGGAAGGGCTGGGTGCCGCGGGGCAGGGGCAGGGGTCCACAGTACAGGAAGCCAAGCAATGGCTCCGTCACCCTTCCTGGCAATACCAGGTGCCGTCCTGGGCTGGTGGGAACGTCGGGCTTTGTGCCGAGCTGCCACGTGGGACATCCACGGGATGCTTCCGGAACTGTGTTTCAGGGCAGACAGCCCCCCTGGCTCCGGGTGTAGACGCCATTGGCTCTGGGTATGGGCACCATGGGCCGTCTGTCTCCCTGACACGGCCCTCGGCCTTGCTGTGCCCGCGTGCTCACCATGCCCAGGCCTCCCACACGCTGCTGTTCCTGTCCCCAGCTCTGTCACTGGAACCAGCACTCACTCACTACACCAACCAGAAAACCAAGCCTCTGCCTCTGTTTCTCTCTCCCTCTTCTCTCTCTCCCCCGTTCTCGCTCTCCTTCCCCTCCCCCCTCCCTGCCCCTCCACGGAGCCCCCGCTGCGCGCCGCCCGCCCGTCTGCCTCATCCCTGCAGCCCCGCTCTCCCCCGTGCTGCTTGTCCTGAAGCAGTGTCCCTGGCTGCACCCCCGACTGTCCTCCAGTCCGTCCGGTCACTGTGGTCGGAGTCCTCAGGACCTGGTCTCCTAGCGTCCGAGGCTCTGTGTGCTCTGGCTCCCGCACTGCCTACTTCACAAATTCCTGGGCGTCCAGCAAGAACTGGTCGACCAAGGCGCGTGGCGAGCTCAGGATGGTCGAGTCGGCCCGCGGGGCGTGAGTGGTTAACGCAGCTGTGACACTGACGCCCCCGCTGGACCCGGCTCTGAGTCCCCTCCAGAGACGGCCGGCAGCCCCGTGGGCACTCGCCGCTCAGTTGCTCCTGGAGCCCGGCCGGGGCCAGCTCGTCTCTCACGAGACCCTGAGCGTGGGAAGGCTCCCGTGGCTGCGGGCCCCGCTCGGCCGGCCCCTTCCCCTCCGCCCCACACCTCGCTCCTGCTCTGTCTTCACACAGCACTCACTCCACACCAGAACAGCAGGACTGGACCCCCGACCCCACCAGCATCGTCCTGCGGGTCGTCCAGCCCACGGGACCCGAGGCCCCCTCTGACTGGGGACCCCCTCCTCAATGAGGCCGTCCCATCCTGAGGGCAGGGGGCAGCAGGTCAGGAGGAGGGAGCGTGAGGGAAGACACTCACCTGCGTGGCTCATGGTGAGGCCCCCGGCACTGACTGGCCAGGGCCACGGAGCCCCGGCTCACAGAACCCGGCCCTTGTGACCACACAGCCACGCCCCGAGGGTCCAGATTCCGCCACATGGCCCCTCACTTCTGGGCGGCCCCCTGCCAAGGGTAAGTCTGTCCCACGTGGCTCCCGGCCCCTGAACTTCTGGCTCCCCCGCTCCTAGGCGGTGCCCATGGTCCCGTGCCTGGTGCCAGACTCTGGAAATCCGGCCCCAGTCTCCTTGCTCTCTGCCCGAGGCAGCTTCTGCATGGCTTCACACAGCGCCCGCGGGGCCTGTGAATGAGCAAGGCCGCACTCGTGGCGTCACCAGAACCCACGTTGGGCACCAAAAAATAGTTGTTGTGCCCAGATCGTTAGAGACCCCCAGAGAGTCGATCACACCGAAGTGCAAAAGCAAGGTTTATTCGGGAGTACAAGCCGCGACAGGGACCCCATCCAACCAACCGGCGCAGCGGAGGAAGGAGCGAGGCCCCGGTCTTTGTTTGGGAGAGTTTTTTAAAGGAAAAAAAGGCTACATCTGCAGGAAGAGTTACATAAGCACGGGAGCTCTGGGCACAGGGAGTCACAGCGGGGGCTCACGGCACGGGAGCTCTGGGTGCAGGGAGTCACAGCGGGGGCTCACAGCACGGGAGCTCTGGGCACAGGGAGTCACAGGGGGGCTCACGGCACGGGAGCTCTGGGCACAGGAGTCACAGCGGGGGCTCACGGCATGGGAGTTCTGGGCACAGGGAGTCACAGCGGGGGCTCACGGCACGGGAGCTCTGGGCACAGGGAGTCACAGGGGGGCTCACGGCACGGGAGTTCTGGGCACAGGGAGTCACAGGGGGGCTCACGGCACGGGAGTTCTGGGCACAGGGAGTCACAGCGGGGGCTCACGGCATGGGAGTTCTGGGCACAGGGAGTCACAGGGGGGCTCACGGCACGGGAGCTCTGGGCGCAGGGAGTCACAGCGGGGGCTCACGGCACGGGAGCTCTGGGCGCAGGGAGTCACAGCGGGGGCTCACGGCACGGGAGCTCTGGGCACAGGAGTCACAGCGGGGGCTCACGGCACGGGAGCTCTGGGCACAGGAGTCACAGCGGGGGCTCACGGCACGGGAGCTCTGGGCACAGGGAGTCACAGGGGGCGCTCACGGCACGGGAGCTCTGGGCGCAGGGAGTCACAGCGGGGGCTCACGGCACGGGAGTTCTGGGTGCAGGGAGTCTCAGCGGGGGCTCACGGCACGGGAGCTCTGGGCGCAGGGAGTCACAGGGGGGCTCACAGCACGGGAGCTCTGGGCACTTGGGCACAGGGAGTCACAGGGGGGCTCACAGCACGGGAGCTCTGGCGCAGGGAGTCACAGGGGGGCTCACAGCACGGGAGCTCTGGGTGCAGGGAGCCACAGCGGGGGCTCACGGCAGGAAGTTTTGGTCGCAGGGAGTCACAGGGGGGCTCACGGCACGGGAGCTCTGGGCGCAGGGAGTCACAGCGGGGGCTCACGGCAGGAAGTTTTGGTCGCAGGGAGTCACAGCGGGGGCTCACAGCACGGGAGCTCTGGGCGCAGGGAGTTACAGCAGGCGCTCTGGGCACTTGGGCGCAGGGAGTTACTTTGTTTAGCGATCTCTGCTGTGCTGTCCTTGGCCTACCGAGCTAGCTGTCCCTGGTGAGCTTTGATACCTCTGGAACGCCTGAATGCTGCTTTTACAAGGACTCGGGTCTGCCATGGAAATGGAGGCTGCTTTTTATTGTTTTAAAGTGGAGTCACTTTAGTTCTTCACCCACAGCCTGAGAGCCCCGAACGGCATGCTCTGAAGGGCACGTGGCTTCTCGTCAGACCCGGATCCTCTCTGCTCATCCCGGGGGAAGCTCTGAGGACGAAGGCCACGCCCTGTGCACCTGTCACTTAGCCATCGAGGCTCCCAGGCTGTGAGGAGGGGCAGCGTGGCCTGTGGGGTGGGCGCCCAGGCTGTGAGCACGGGGCAGTGTGGCCTGTGGCGGGGGGAGCGGACATGAGCGGCCTGGCTCGTGGGGAAGGTGTCGGGGAGGAGCAGCTGTGACCGTGGAGCTCCCGTCACGCCGCGTGCGTGGTGAGGCCAGGGCCGTGTGAAAGCTGAGGCCAGCGCAGGAGGCTGTCCTGCATGCCTGCAGGCTGAGTGCGCCCCGGGGAGCCGAGGCCACGGCGCCTCTTCCTCCTGCTCTTACCAGTCACCGCGCTCATCTGCCAGCGCGGGCCGCACACTTCCTGAGAGTTCCGGTTGGTTCTAGAATGGCCCTGCCTCTTCGGGAAGGGCTGTCCACACCGAGCCAGGGAGACAGAGCCGCAACCCCTGCTGAAGAAGGCCGCGCTGGGTGCTGGTCCGAGGGCCGCCACCCGCAGGCAGACACGGGCGGCGCTGGTTCTTGAGTTGGACCTGCATGCCCACCTCGGCCCTGGTGTCTGCCGGCTGTGGGCTGTGGTTAGACCAGGCCGGGCACAGCGACCAGGCTGGGCTTCTCCGGAGGCGGGCCCGTCCCGGGAAGATCCTGCAAGAACGCAGCCTGCTGCTCCCTGAGAAGGAGCCTCCAGTGTGCCTCGGGGCTGCCGGTGCCACCGGGGCCGGGCTCTCCCCCGGGAAGTGCGAATCAGGCCCCTGCTCAGGAGCCCTGCACTGGGCCACGGGGTCCCACCCCGCAGACGCCACCCCAGACGTCTGCGACCCCCCACCCCACAGAGCCTGTCCACACAGTTAAGCAGCTGAGGGCCCAGCCCTCCCGACGTCCACACTGGCAGAGCCGCCGTCTCCGTGACCACACCCACCGGCTGCAGCGTCTGCGGCTGCCCCACTGTGCCCTCCTCCCCTGCCAGGAGCCCCCTCAGGCAGCGGCAGCAGGACCAGGGCCAGCGTCCGTCCTGCGCTGCCACGGTGGGACGCAGCCCCCCTCCCCGTCCCGCCCCAGGCTCACACAAATGGAAAGGGTGGTAGACAGAGGGGCCGGGAGGTTTTGAGGCACACGCACGTCTCTGTCTCATCAACTGAAGCCTGCTCGCTCGTGACCACACATCCAAGTTCCACGGAAACAGGCCCACCTGACGCTCACCAGATGCCTGGACCACGCTCGTTTGCCGTTCCCCCACCCTCTCCTTGGTCTTCCCTCTCTTGGGAACCGAGGACTCCACACCCAGTGGACACTGCCCTCTGCAGGGTCATGGGGAGATGTTGCCCCCTGGTGGACGAGATGAAGACAACACCTTTCTCCCCCAAATTGGCTCTCAATTAGTTTTCCCCCTGGAAATCTGTCTGCGGTTGGTTTCGCTTCCCAGAGTGGCTAAGATTGCATTGCGTGGTTGCATTTGCTGTAAGCTGGGGCTTTGGTGCCCCCAGTAGGTCCCACCCCCCCAACCAGCATTCAACAGGCCCCTTGGTCATGTTATGGTTTTGCCCACTAAAGTGTTGTGAGACACAGTACTTGCGACAAGAGGCGAGTTCGTTCGTCCTCAGCAGACTTCAAAAGTGCTCACGACAGCACAGGCCTGAGGGCCCGTGTGGGGCTGGGAGCGCTGTCGGTGCTCGGATCTGCAGGGGAGGGCATCTTAATGCCCTGGCGGGCTTTGCTCTCAACCCGCACGCACGCCTCCCTTCTCTTGTTTGGCCAAAGATTTGCCTTGCGATGAGGTCTGATTGTAATAGCAAAAATAAAAATCAACTTTCAGGCCTAAAAATTGCACATGACACAGCTTAACATCCAAAGAGGAGAGCAGAGGGAAACACGGCTGGTTGTGCTTTGTACACGGACAGAGTGCAGGGGCGAGCAGGATGCTCGCGTCCAGCCGGGCCAGAGGAGGATGAGCTGCAGGATTGTGTGGAGGAAACAGATGACACCCGAGACTACAGCTGGGAACACCCAGATAGGCAGAGGCGTGGATGCTGGACTGTGCCCAAGGCTCGGCTCACTTCCATGCCAGGGGCCTCGCCCGCCTCCAGCGGACAGCATTGCTGCTGCCTGCCCCACGTCCCCACCGAGGCAGGGGCGCAGGAGCCGGAGACACGGCACAGGCACCCTGCACGCTGGCCCTGCCTGGGCCCCATCTAAACGCCAGGCAAGCACCTCCCCTCTGCAGGACCCGAGACTGCCCGAGCCCCAGGTGCAGAGGCCACAGCCCTGGGCAGCAGCAACTCGCCTGCCACCATGAACTTGCAACAAAGCACAGGCCAGGACGGCCTGTCACACTGGTAGAAGGTGAAAGGAAGCGAGAGGGTGATGACGGCCCAGGACCCTCCCGGCTCTGTCCTAATGAGGCGTCTGAGCCAGGCCTGGGCGAGGGAAGCTGGACAGGGCTTGGTGCCCAGTAATTTAGCTCCAGTGCTCCCAGTTCCTCCCATTGACCCTCAGCTGTGGCTAAGCGTCCAGCCACCCCTGGTTTGCGATCACTCCCCAATCGCCCTCCCTGGCCCAGTGTGGGGGAAGAAGCAGGCCACATGGGGTCCAGGTGAGCCGCTGCTCTGTGCGCGGGATGGGGGTGAGTGTCAGGCGGACAGAGCAGGGGGCAGCTGTTTATTCCAACATTCGGGGCGGGGGGCGGTGTGGAGGCGAAGGCGCAGGCCTGGGGGGCTGCAGGGGGAGGGTAAGGCCTGGGGCCGACGCCACTCTGATTCCTTCAGGGTCTTCCCCACGCTGCTCACAGACAGAACCGGGAAGAGCCACAGGGGCCCCCAGTGGGGCACTCGGGGAAGGCAGCTGACCCACCCGGAGCCGCAGGGGCCCTGGGGTGCCAGGCGCTGGCAGAGACGTGGCAGTACCACACCCAAGAGCAGCCGTGGATCCAGAGCATGAGGGCGGCCGCCAAGATCACGTGGCAGCAGAAGGAGGTGGTGACGAAGGCGAGGTCACTCTGGTCGTCGTCCATCCACTTGTAGCCCGAGATGGGCCTGTACAGCATGAAGCCCATCTGTATCAGCCAGGAGCCCGTGACGGTGGACAGGAAGGCCTTCAGCACCCACAGCCGCGGCTCGTCGGGGGCCCACAGCTCTGCGGTAAGCACCAGGGTGAGCAGGAGCATGGTCTGTGTGAGCAGCACGTGGGACCGCAGCTCCACGCCCTCCGTGTCCTGCATGTGTGACAGCATCAGGGGCAGGAAGATGGACATGCTCAGGGCCTGGGCCGCCTGCTCCAGCCCGGCGCACCTGCGCGGCAGCAGGTGCTGGCTGGCCACGTCCACGCAGCCGCTCAGGAGGAAGGAGGCGTAGAGGGTGACGTGCTGCCACTGCTTGCGGTACATGAAGCTTCGCTCGTGGTACATCCTGGTCAGCAGCACGAACTGCCTGGGGATGCTGTGCACCTCCTGGGCCACGAGGATGCAGGCACTCAGAATCTTCAGTGAGCCCACACTGCACGCGCGCCGCAGCCCTGCCCATGCCCCCCGGCCCTGGGTGCCACGCTGCGGGTACTGGGCCAGGGAGTCACACAGCAGCGCCCTGGAGACCAGCCGTGCCTGGTGGAGCCCGTACAGGAAGAAGGACAGCCCCGGGTACAGGTGGCCTTCGAAGCCGCCCATGGGTCCCAGGCAGCTCTGACCGGGGGCAAGAGCGAGAGGCTTGGCAGTGGCCGGATGCCCAGGGCCGCGCCAGGCTCCAGGGCGCAGGGGCCTGCACTTATGTCCTCTGCGCGGCCCACGGCAGCCTCATCCCGAGGGAGACGGGCAGGTGGGAGGCTGGCTTCCTTCCTGCCCTTGCTCTGGTTCACTGATGCCCAGCTGACCGTTGACAATGAAGGAGGACATCCCCGCCCGCCGACCCCTCCGCACCGCCTGCCGCTAGAAACCCTGATTTTCCACTTGTGGCAAGGGCTGGTGGCCTTGCTGTTCCATTCCAGGTTCCGCAGGTTTATTCGAAATGAAAAGCAGTGGCAGCTGGCCTAAGCCAAGGCTGCATTTCTGGTGCCAACAGAGCCCCAAGGGCCCTCGCCCCCTCCAGCTACACTCATGTCCAGCCCCTCGGCACCAAGACGAAAGAGGGCATCGACTCGCAGGCTAGGGAACTCGGACCCCCTCGGAGCTTCCTGTTAGCCCGGCCATACGAGCCACATGGGGTTGACAGAGTGAAATGGCACTCGGCCACGGTCATGCGCAGGCCAGCGAGTGCCACCGACTGTCCCACTACCTCGACCTGGCCTGTCCCGGAGCCGCGGCCAGAACTGGATGGCATTCTGAAAGGCAGTCACCAGCAAGTCGTTCTTGTGTGACAAAGCCTGGGGCGGGGTCGTACAACAAACACGACTCCTACTTGAAGGAGGCCACGTCGGAGATGGGGTCCCGCTGGGGCCCCAGCCGGGTGCCTGCCCTGGGGAGTGGGCTTCACGCCATGCCTGGCCAGCATCTGTGTCCCTTATGTGGCATGGGCTACTCGGCCCCAAGCACCCCCGGCGGGGACTGGCTGCTCCCAGCCTGCACCCAGGCTGCGTCCGTTTGGAGGGAATTCTGAGTGGGGCTCGGTGCAGCGTGGCTTGGATTTAAACGAATGACTACTAAGCGCACAGTAAGCCACACCGACAGGAGCGTTGTAAAGTGTCAAGTGCAGAGTGGATCTAGCAAATAATTATTTGTTTCTTCTTGTCCTAACTTATGTGAATGTTTCAGGACATTCAAAACCCATGAACACCACAGAACTCTTTGCTGGACCTCACCCAGTGTGGAACCCAGCGTGCCCGGCCCTGTAGCACAGTGAGAGCAGCCCTCCGGGTCACAGTGAGACCCAGAGACACCATGAAGACCCCCACCCCTGTGGCCGGCATCGGGATGCAGAGGGTTAAGCTGCCACTTGCAACACCGATGTTCGGTCAAGTCCCAGCTGCTCTGCTTCTAATCCAGCTTCCTGCCATTGCGTCAGGGAACGCAGTATAAGGTGCCCCAAGAATTTGGGCTCCTTCCACCCACGTGGGAGACCAGGGTTGATTTCCTGGCCCCTGGTTTTGGCCTGGCCCAGCCCCAGCTGTGGCAGCCATTTGGGGAGTGAGCCACTGGATGGAAAACCTCTAGTCACTACCTGTCTCTCTGTCACTCTACCTTTCTAATAAATAAAAATTTTAAATAAATAACATACTCTCCACCCCGGGAAACCATGCTGGAGGAGAGTCTGCAGGGCCCCTCTCATCTCCGTCTGGCCCAGGAGTGGACACCGCCCAGCTCCGCTCCTGGCTGTTTCCAAGGCTTCCTGTTTAGCAATATCTCTGGGACACGGAGAAGGTGCACAACTTCTGCGATGCAGGATTCTGGTCCCCTGAGCCTGGGGCTCCCCGCCAGGGCAGGCATCTGGCCCTGGTCGTACCGCCCGGGCAGCCCCTGTGCCTGGGGCAGGCTCAGCGGTGACTCGTGGGCAGAGTGCAGATCCCACTCCTGCAGCCACACTGAGCCCGGCCCCGCCCTGTGCCAGCTGCCATTGCACCTGAGAGAAAGGCAGGCCACACCGGTGAGGCCCCAGCGGCTCGCGGTCAGCCGTCTCGGAGAAGTGCGAGCTCAGCTCTCCCGCTCCCGGGAACCTCAGCGTCGGCTTTGCCCTCGCTCGGCCCTCCGCAGCGTGCTGGCCCCTGAAGCCACCTCCAGAAGAGGACAGAGCCACCCGACGTGAGCTCCCTCAGCACCGGCCGCAGCTCCTGTTGGGGTCGCCGTCCCCTAACCGCCCCACTTCCTCCCGCACTCCCCGAAGCCCATTTTCAAGCCCACACCCAGCTGGTCTCCTCCAGGCTTGGGTCCGACCACAGCACCGCCCAGCGGCCAGCAGCAGCTTCCCCTCCTCACCTGGCGCGGAAGGCAAGGCAGAGCCTGCACTGCCCACCCGCCTGCCCGCCCTGGCCTGGCCACCAGTGCCCTTGCTCACCCCGCCTGTACACAGAACGCCAACGTGTGTGTCTGAGAGTGGACAGTGGCTCCCCTGGACACCTCAGGGGCCACCCAGACACAACACTGAAGCTGACTGCGGCCGTCCCCGGAACCCTGGACTGGCCATGCTGTCACCCTGGACGCCATTCCCAGGTACCCGAGTGGCTCATGAGCTCTCCTCAGCTGCCCCCTCGGCACGCACGTGGGCCTTCGTGAGGGCTCAGGTTCCCGCGGGCCGTAGTCCCATGCTCCTCGGCTCCATCCCTTCCTCCAGCCAGGGCTGGTGCCTGGCACTGTGCGTCCTCGTGCACCGCCCTCATTTTTCATTGTTTCTTGCCTGGGTTGAATGACGGTGGCAGGAACCATAATCTTCAGAATACAGCTAATTCCAAAAGGTGGACCGTACACCGTCTGTGTCACTGAACTGCCCAAGGCTGGAGGGACAGGACGCTGACTCGGCACTGCTGGGGGAGACCATGACCTTGAACCACAGTCCCGACATCTGTTAAGCAAACGCTAAGAGCCGCTCCCTGCCCCTCGGGGCTGTGGTGATTGCCTCACGCAAGTGGGGATCAAAGGGGCTGCCGTGCGCAGAGCACCGTGAGAACGTAAGGTTCGAGCTTCACCTCTACCCTCGGTCATTCCCCCGCCACACGACGGCCCGTGGTGTCCTGACCTCAGGCTCGGGGACGAGTCCTGCCACAGGCAGCGCCGTGTCTCGGGGGCTGTGCAGCCGAATGCCCAGCCCAGAACGCGGGGAGACGTGGCCGCAGGCCGACAGCACAGGGTCTGAGGCGGCCCCGCCCCGCCCTGGGAGGGCGCCCGGCTCTTTCCTGCGACCTGCTGGTCCCAGCAGCTGTCGGTGTGGAGGGCCTTCTGGCTCCGGCTCTTCCTGTGCCAGGGCTCCCGGGAGCCGGGGGGGTTAGTTCCCCCCAGGCCTGCGTCCCGGATGAGCGCGACGGTGGTTTTATCTACTGATGTGTACGTGCGAGGCGGTCGCCCTTTGCACGTGCTGGTAGCAGTGACGTGATTACTGCCGTCAAGTGAGCCAACGCGGCAGTCCCTCCTGCAGTCACCTCCCTCCGAGTGTCTGAACTCTATTCAACAAACGCCCAGCGCAGGCGCAGTCAGTGCTGCCCCCCCCCCCCCCCGCCACGGCCCGGCCCAGCGTCGCCGTCACCCCGTCCCCTGTGGCCCAGCGTCGCCGTCACCCCGATCCCTGCGGCCCAGCGTCGCCGTCACCCCGCTTCCCCGGCTACACTGCGTCCAGCGCCCAGGTCCCTCTCGGCCCGTGACAGACTCCAGCCCTCAGACCACACCCGCCCATCCCACCTGTGCGCCTGTGGTGTTCCCACGGTCAAGGGCCAGGGAGGGGACACAGCGGCTGGGCTCCTGCCTGATTCCCACACTGCCTCATCTCACCTCACCCCACCCCACCCCACCTCACCTCACCTCACCTCACCTCACATCTCACCTCACCCCACCTCACCTCACCTCACATCTCACCTCACCCCACCTCAGCCCACCTCACCTCAGCCCACCTCACCTCACACCTCACCTCACATCTCACCTCACCCCACCTTACCTCACCTCACCTCATCCCACCTTACCCCACCTCACCTCACACCTCACCTCACATCTCACCTCACATCTCACCTCACCCCACCTCAGCTCACACCACCTCACCCCACCCCACGTCATCTCAGCCCACCTCACCCCACCTCATCCCACCTTACCCTACCTCACCTCACCTCACCTCACCTCATTCTACCTCACCTCACCTCACCCCACCTCACTTCATCCCACCTCACCTCACCTCACCCCACCTCACCTCACCTCACCCCACCTCACCTCACCTCACCCCACCTCACCCCACCTCACCTCATCCTACCTCACCTCATCCTACCTCACCTCACCTCACCTCACCCCTCACCTCACCTCACCTCACCCCACCTCACCTCACCCCACCTCACCTCATCCCACCTCACCTCACCTAACCCACCTCACCTCAACACCTCCTCACCTCACCCCTCGCCTCACCTCACCCCACTATACCTCACCTCACCTCATCCCACCTCACCTCACCTCACCCCACCTCACCTCACCTCACCCCACCTCACCTCACCCCACCTCACCTCACCTCACCCCACCTCACCTCACCCCACCTCACCTCACCTCATCCCACCTCACCTCACCTAACCCACCTCACCTCAACACCTCCTCACCTCACCCCTCACCTCACCGCCTGCTCCAGCGCCCGCGCACCCTGCGTGGGCGCTGTCGCAGGTTCAGCTGTGCGCGTGCGCGGGCCGGGTCTTTATCCGCTGCCGCCCGCGGTCGCTGGGTGCCCGTCTCTCTCCGGGGCGGTGGTGTGGTTTCTGCAGGTGGACACTCGAAGGCGGGTTCCTGGGTCACCCCCATGGCTCTATTTTAATTTCTTGTCTAACAATTTTAAAAATGCATTCGTTTACTTGAAAGGCAGAGAGACCGAGAGAGACAAAGATCTCCCTTCGGCTGGGCCACTCACCGGGAACTCCATCCAGGCCTCCCACCGCTGGCCCACCGCCCGCCCCAGGACGCCCCTGTTCCCCACCAGGTCCGCCTCTTAGGAAGGGGCGGAGGACGAGCTCCTGAGAAGACCCTCTGGCGTCCCCGTGGCCGCCCCCACGGCGACGCCGCCCCTCGCTGCTGCCCCTGCAAGGCCGAGAGGAGGCCCTGGCCCCTCAGGTTCCGAGCGCGCCCAGCTGCTCTCTGTGCGGCACCTGGCAGCAGCGGCGAGAGGCTGGGTGGGGGCTGCCCTGACCGCTGTCTGCACAGAAGCCCCGCCCCCGACGTCCGGCCCACCTCGCCGCCTTGTGTGGGCCGCAGGCGGACAGTGGGGCCTCCCTCAGTAGCAGCACCAGCCCAGGAGGCCTCAGGGACAGTGCTGAGACCGGGTCTCAGAGGCGCGTGGAGCCCAAAACCAAACACGGGAAAGAGAAGACATGGCCACAGCGGCCCTGTCCTCAGCTGGGTCCAGCAGAAACCTGGGGGCGTCTTTGAAAGCAGAGCTCTAGGGGCCGCCGCTGTGGAGTAGCGGGTGAAGCCGCCGCCTGCAGTGCCAGCATCCTATATGGGCGCCGGTTTGAGTCCCCGCTGCTCCACTTCTGCTGTGGCCTGGGAAAGCAGTGGAGGATGGCCCAGGTGCTTGGGCCCTGCACCCGCGTGGGAGACCCCGAGGAAGCTCCTGGCTCCTGACTTGGGATCGGCGCAGCTCTGGCCTTTGCAGCCCGTTGGGGAGTGAACCAGCGGATGGAAGACCTCTCTCTCTCTCTCTCTCTCTCTCTCTCCTGTAACTCTGACTTTCAAATAAATAAATAATCTTTAAAAAAGCAAGCAAGCAAGCAGAGCTCCAGATAACCGTGCCACCCCGAGGGCGTCACAGCAGGGGGCGGCGGGGTGGGCAGCCTGAAGCCGTCAGTCCAGAACGTTCTCCCAGGTGCAGGGCTCCTTTCACGGCAGGTGCCCTGCGGGGCCGCCCCATGACAGCCGCAGACTTGCTCAGTGGGACAGCGGCATTGACCTCCGACAGCTCCCCTCTTATCTCCCGGGGGGAAACCTTGCAGGCCTGCTTCCCGGCAGCCTGGGGACTGGCACCGGTGACCGCATCTGAGCACACACAGTGCTGTGCACAACCTGCCGGTCACAACGCTGCCAGTCCTGCTTCACTGATGGGGAAGCACGGGCTCCCGTGGAGAACCGGGTGGGCACAACGGGCTGTCTCCAGGACATGGCACGACCTCTCTGCCAGTGCCCATGCCATGTGCGCCTCTGAGACACCTGCCACCTGCCACCTGCTCAGTCCTGCCCACACACGGCCGGCTCAGCTTCCGCAAGGCGGAAGCACTCACGCCTGACTGTAAGCACGAAACTGCTTCTCTTCTACGGTGCCGCATGGCCGCTCCTTCTGGGGCTGCTTGTGTGCCCTGTGCCCCCCCGGCCCCCGACAGTGCCTCCTGCACGCAGCTGTCGCCCCCAGCACCGCCGGGAGCCTCAGGGCCAGCGAGTCCCGGCACTCGGCAGGTGCTGTGCTCACTTGCTGAAGGAGGCGCAAGGACAGGTTGCAAAAGACGACTGCACCGAATTGTTTGCGGCTCCCACGAGCGAGGGCTGAGGGGTCGATGCCATCAAAGGCACAGGCCGGCCGATGGCCAGAGGGCGTCAGCCCTGGCCTGGCGTCCGCTTCAAAGTCTCCCCTAAGTCCAAGCCGCAGCCTCTTGATCTTTCCCTGTTTGCTCATTAAAGTGCATTTCATTAAGGCCAGGTCATTCTAACGCAGCAGAACAGGGCAGGGGTGGCAGCGTGAGGCCAGGGCCAGGGCGCGGCCCAGCTCTCAGCTCTCCACTCACAGTCGGACACCATCGGCCAGTGTGGGGGGTGCTAGGAATGTGAGGAGATGCCGTGGTCTGCAGGGGGTGCGTAGGAAGCCACGGTCCGTGTCCCCTGGGCATGGTCGGCCATACTCTGAAGTGACCATGTGAGCCGACACCTCCTGAACTCTGCCTACAGGCCACGGGCTGGGCCAGGGCTCCTCTCTTCTGACCCTCCCGGGTTCCCTCTGAGGGCTGCTCCTGCCGACCCCGCCCACTACACACCAAGGAAAACGGGGCTCAGACAAGTAAAGCTGTTGTGGCACAAAACGGCACAGCGGGGGTCCCAGCGCAGGGGGCCCTCCTGGGCTGCACACTGCCCGCCGCGCCCTGTGCCTCCGTGGGGCATCGCGCAAGTGTCCAGTACTCTCAAGCAGGCACCAAAGACACTGCCCGGCATTTGCCGCCCAGATGGTGCTGCTCAGAATGAGGCCCCGGGGCCTGCTCCCTGCAGGCACAGCCGCGGCCTCCTGTGCACCTGTGCACCTTAGCTGAAGCCGTAGGAGCCAGAGCGGAGTGGGGCCTCCGTGGGTCATGCAGCAACCCCGCAGTAAGTGCTGCAGACGGTCTCCTCCCACTCAGCAGCCTCGTCCCCCAGCCACCCAGCCTCAGCGGCGCGGGGGGGGGGGGGTCACGCCATGGTCCCTGCTGTGTGGGGTCGGGGTGGCAAATGGAGCACCTCACCCCACCCCTGTTGGAGCCACTAGGGCGAGGCCATCTGGGAGCCCAGTCTACCTTGTGCAGGGCCCTGTGGGTCAGGGGCCGAGACCCGGCTGGCTTCCCACTGCTAGAGCCATTTCCCAAGCAGACAGAGGACTGCACTGGGGACGATGACAGCAGTGGGGACGCCAAGGCCACCAAAGTGAGACCCGGCAGGAGCAGCTTCTGCAGCAAAAGCTCCCAAGATCTGGCAGTGTCCGTGGCTCGACCAACTCACACCTGCGAGCTGCCCACTCTTGTCACAGCCTCCCTGAAAATGTACCCCACACAGTGTGCCACCGTGCAGCTCCAGATGCGTCTTCAGTGAATCTGTTTGTGTGTCACACTCTGAGTGTGCTCTGAGCTGTAGGACAGCGTGTGAGTGTGTCAAACTGCTGTAGGACAAGGGTGTGAGTGTGTGTGACACTCTAGCTGTGAGCTGTAGGACAAGGGTGTGAGTGTGTGTGTGTGACACTCTAGCTGTGAGCTGTAGGACAAGGGTGTGAGTGTGTATGTGACACTAGCTGTGAGCTGTAGGACAAGGGTGTGAGTGTGTGTCACACTGTGCCATAGGACAAGGGTATGAGTGTGTCTGCGTGTGTGTCACACTCTGAATGTGCTCTGAGCTGTAGGACAGCATGTGAGTGTGTCAAACTGCTGTAGGACAAAGCTGTGAGTGTGTGTGTGACACTCTAGCTGTGAGCTGTAGGACAAGGGTGTGTGAGTGTGTGTGTGTGACACTCTAGCTGTGAGCTGTAGGACAAAGCTGTGAGTGTGTGTGTGACACTCTAGCTGTGAGCTGTAGGACAAGGGTGTGAGTGTGTGTGACACTCTAGCTGTGAGCTGTAGGACAAGGGTGTGAGTGTGTGTGTGTGTGACACTCTAGCTGTGAGCTGTAGGACAAATGTGTGAGTGTGTGTGACACTCTAGCTGTGAGCTGTAGG